ACCCAGGTGTCCCCAACTCAGACATATTGAAAAAGTTTTTCAAGGGATGTGACAGCCATCCCTGGAGAAGAAATTAATGTGTGAGCAAGAACAGATCAATTTTCCTTCCAGCATTAGTTCTCAGGACCTGCTAACCTGATCACTCTAGGACTTTCATCCATACCTTATTACTTTTGGGGGAACATCTCGGCAAACACCCTTTTCTTTGAGGTATAGTAATATTTATAATCAAGATATATCATTTCATTCATTTAAATATTTACTGAGACCTACTTCATGTCTTTTAGGCCAAGGGAAGAGTGTGGGCAAAAGAAAAGATGTATGAGGGAAAAATGATAAAGTTCTGGTATAAATAGTTTGTCTCTGGAGCATAGCCTTTGAGGGAGTGATAGGAGACAAGCTGGCAAAGTGGAATGGGATGAGATAAAAATCCTTGGCTAGGCAGTTCTTATTTCAGCTTAGCTATTGAGGTAAAACACAGATAATAAAATGCATTAAGCTTAGCCAACATCTCAGTGAATGTGTATATACCTCCTTATAATCACCACCCAGATCAAGATCTAAAACATTTCTAGCGGGGATCCCTGGGTGGCGCAGCTGTTTAGCGCCTGCCTTTGGCCCAGGGTGCGATCCTGGAGACCCGGGATCGAATCCCACGTCGGGTTCCCGGGGCATGGAGCCTGCTTCTCCCTCTGCCTATGTCTCTGCCTCTCTCTCTCTCTCTCTCTCTCTCTCTCTCTGTGTGTGACTATCATAAATAAATAAAAATTAAAAAAAAAATAAAACATTTCTAGCATTCCAGAAGGTTCCTTTATGCCTTTCCCAGTCAGTCCCCCTCCCTAGAGGGAACTACTGCTCTGGCCTCAATTGCTATTAATTAGTTCTGTCTGTTCTTCACAGAAGTGGACTTATACAATTTATACCCTTTGTATCTGGCTTCTTTTACTCAGGGTAATGATCATGGGATGTCTCTTGTTGTTGAACTTAAGAGACTTTGTTCTTGGGCAGCCCTGGTGGCTCAGTGGTTTAGTGCTGTGTCAGCCCAGGGGTTGATCCTAGAGACCTGGGATCGAGTCCCATGTCAGGCTTCCTGCATGGAACCTGCTTCTCCCTCTGCCTGTGTCTCTGCCTCTCTCTCTCTCTCTCTCTCTCTCTCTCTCTTTCTCTCTTTGTGTCTCTCATGAATAAATAAAATCTTTAAAAAAAAAGAGAGAGAGACTTTGTTCATTTTCTTGCTTCATAGTATTCCATTGAATGAACACCCAGAAATTTGTTTATGCATTTTCTAGTTGGCAGACATTTGGGTTATTTCCAGTTTCGTGCTAGTGTGACTACAGCTATTATGAACATTCTTGTACATGTCTTTCAGTGAACAATGTATTCATTTCTCTTGGATATATACCTAGAGGTGGGTAGGCACATTTTTGTTTTAGTAAGTTATGCCCAACAGTTCTCCCTAGTGGTTGTATCAAGGGCGTTTTGACTTTAGCCTGAGGAAGACTGGGAGCAGTGTGCTGAAATTTATATTTTAGTCTGGCAGCCACTGTGAAAGACACACTGAAGGTAGATGAGGCTGTAGACGGGGATACCAGTCTGAGCAACAGACCAAGTGAGGGTTCTTGAGGCCCTGAGCTCTGAAAAGATCTCAGGAGCTCATGGAGGGAGAGGATAGCATTTAGAGATGATAAGAAGGTAGAGTTAACAAGATTGTTTGGGTGTTTTAGGGAAAGAATGGAGTTCAGGATGACTGCCAGATCTCTGACGTGGTGTTGGCAGAATGGTGGTGCCCTTTTCTGAGAGAGGGAGCACTTGGGAAGGGGCAGATTTGAGGAGGAAGAGAAGCTCTGTTTTGAACATCTTGAATCTAAGGGACCTGTGTGAGATCAAGGCGGAGGTATCCAGTAGGCAATTGGATACATGGAACTGAAGCTCTGGGGAGAGATCCACGCTGGAGATTTCTATCACGGAAACAAGGGAATGCGTGAACCATCAGAGTGGGGGTGTAGAAAGAGGATCCCAAGAAGATGACTGAGAAGGCATTTCCTGAGAGGTAGGAGGAAAACCAGGAGCTGGCCTGCTATTATGAAAATCCAGGGGAGGGAGAGTTTCCAAAAAGAGTTTCCAAAGTCTGTTGAGGATGGGCATCGAAAGGTGTCCAGTGAATGCAGAGTTTAACCTATCTGTCCATGGGGCCTTCTGCCTCCGCAGTCTCTGTGGTGCCAGAAGCCCACATCAGTGTGATGGGGCCGACTGGGCTCTCTTTCCCCTCACTTCTTTTTCACTGGCTTCTCAGCCTGAGGCAAGGGAGAGAGAGAGAGAGGGAAAGGAAGATTCAGCCTCACTCAGTCCAGGGACCATGTCTGTGGCCTCTCAAAGAAGTTTGGTGGGGACCTCCGCTGGACAATAGAGGGCAGACAACAGCTAGTACAAGGCCCACCAAGTCCCTCCTGACATTGGAACACTGAAAACTTTGACATTTGAACACAAATTTCCCCTGGAGCCTTTCCCCTATGGAAATTTCCAGTTGTAAACCATACTGACTTTAATCTGAAGTGTCAGAAAGGTTGCCCAGGAGTCTGGGAGCCAACCAGCTGAAAGCACATTTGTATGGAAGTCAGGGCAAACAAAATAGGATTCAGAACATTTTTTGAGATTTCTGCCAGTGGTGAACTTTTCCAGGAAACATGACAAAAACTGACCCTCTTAGGCAAAAAAGCACTGGGTCTTATCATAATTAATTTGTATTCTTACTGAAACATAAACTTGGGGGAAATGGTGAAGGGAAAGAACAGCACATTTATTTCTTATTTCTTTACCAGGCACAAGGGGCTGGAGGAGGCTCCCGTAGAGTTTAATGAGCAGCTTTATGTATTTATATGCTTTGACTGGAGCTAAAGAGGTCTGTGCCACACAATGGGTAGTTTCCAGTTGGATTTTAAAAGAAAATAACTTTGATCATTTCAAAAGCAATGAAGCCTGATACAGCACAGAGAAAAGAAAGCGGTAATTTATGGCTACCATTAAGGACACAAAGACAAAGGCGGAGGGAACGTTTCACTAAGTGAAGATTTACAAATGTGTAAAAACCATCCTTATGACTAGAAATAGCTAAGTGTCTCTCTCAGTACTAAACAAAAGGGGATAGGAGGGAGAGGGAAAAAGACAGAAAAAGGGATGCAACCTGCCTGCCTTCACTGGGGATGAAAAGGTCAAAAGAAAAACAACCACAGAAAAGTTATTTTCTCAGATTCTCCATCAGGCAGCAGCACTAGCAATGAAGGCCCAAAGAGGCATTCTTTGCCGAGGCCCATGGGCATGGGAAAGACCAGGGCAACAGATGGGGCTGTGGGGATGGTGGGGGGTGTGCTACAAAGGGGGCGCTCTGGGAAGGGGATGGATCCTAGGAAGACATGTTCTTATGCTTGAGCTAGGTGGGATTTTTTTATGTTTATTTTTTTCTGATTGCCAAAGGGGTGTGTGTGTGTGTGTGTGTGTGTGTGTGTGTGTGTGTGTGTTTGTATTCATAGATAGATAGATAGATACACTATTCATATATATTCATCATTAAATTTTCTCCTGTATAAATATATATACATGCATACAAACATACATGTATGTATGTATGTATATGTATGCATAGGAGAAAATGTAATAAATAAAGAGATGCTCTGATTAAAACAGATGTTTTAATGTGTTTAATGTGATGTTTAACAACAGCATCTCAGAATTGTTACTACATTTGTTCCTCAAGTGCTCCATGCCAAGTGTAGTGGGCTCCATCATCGGTGGCAAGGGGAGGTATGCACATGTTCCCTTTTAAGGACTAGCTTGTTGGAAAGCCAGCTGATAGGTGCTGTCTGTATTTGCAGCTGGTCAGACCTGATGTTTATGAGTTCAGGTGGTCATAGATATCACCTGCGACCCAGGCAAAATTTGTGCTGGCTCTTGTCCCTGGTGGCTCACCTTTGACTTCTAGCCCCTTTTCCCTTCACCTTTTAGGCTGTCCTCTAGATATATTTAATTAGAGTCCTGGGAGATGAACATTTCCTGCTGTGATTGTAGGCCCAGCATTGTACCAGAGAGGAACAGTCTAAGCATGCGGGTCGGTGGGACAGGTGGGCCACTGCTTGGGCTGGGGATCACAGAAGGCCTGGGTTGGACGGCATGGAGAAAGGTGCAGAGTGCACGTCGAGGTGAGCAGCAAGCTGATGTCCTCTCCCCTGGGTCTCCTGAGGGTCCGAAGTAAGTGGAATTACTCTCACTCCAACCACGTTACAGTCCCAAGTGGCTTTAGACATCTGGGACCATAGGACACTTTCTGGGAGCCTCCTATTTCAGGCCAGAGTGCTATTTGCCTCACAAGAGGGGCTGGGTCAAGTTGTAGGACACTGCGAAGGGGCAGAGCACGAGGTCCTGGGGGCTGGAGCCGCAGGTTTGGTGCCGGGCGTGCCGGGCCCTGCCCTGGGGACGCGGTCCCGCCCGGCCCGGCTGACAGCCGCCCTCCAGCCGCCGCGGCCGGCCGCGCCCCCTCCGCCCCGCGCCCGGAGGGGAGGGGGCGGCCGGGAGGGGCGGCACTGCCCCCCGCACCGCCCGCCCCGGCCCGGGGAGGACCGTGTGAAAATGAGGCCGGGGCTCGGGGGCCGGGCGGGGCCGGGCCGGGGGTGTCAGAGCGCGGGGGCAGGGCGCCGGCACACACCTCCCGGAGCCGCCGCCTCGCTCGCCGCCTCCGCCCGCAGCCGCTGCGCCATCCATGGGGGTCGTGGGCCGCGGCTGCCCCGGGACGGCCTGGGCGCTGCTGCTGCTGCTGCTGCCGCTTCTGCTGCTGCCGCCGCCGCCGCCGACCGCCGCCGTCCCGCGCCGCAGCGGCCGCGCCCCGGGGCCGCCGGAGGGTGAGTGCCCGCACCTCCCGGGGCTCGGCACGCACCTGGGGCGGGCGCGCGGGCCGGGCCGGGCCGGGGCTTGGCTGCGGGGGCTCCGCGTGGCCCCCGATCCCCCGGGGCCTCACCGCCCGCCAGGCCAAGGCGCCACCACCGCTCGCGCCCGAGGCCCGGGGCCTGAGGGCGCAGCCCGGCTTCGGACCCGGGGCCGATGACAGTTGCCGTCCCCGAAGGTCCCTGCTGGTGGGACCCCGCCCGCTGGGAAGGACGGAGGGCACCCGGGCTCGCGGCCAGCTCCTCGTTTGCGTAGATGGGGAAACTGAGGGTCGCGGCCGGCGGACGTACGTGGGGTCGTGGCAGCTTCGCTCCTCTTTCTCCTGGAGCCGGGAAATTCCGTGCGCCCCAGGGTGGGCTCCAGAGAGTTTTCTATCTGCGAAGCAGGCGCGGGGCGGGGATCCGGGAATATCGTCGGCCCCAACGAACCGGGCTCCCCGGCGGCGCAGATACGAACGCTGGGCTGGGCGTTCTGCGCTACCTGCACTCGCAGTGTTTTCAAAACGTTTGTCTTTAATTAACATCCTGGAGTGGTGTCAACCCAGGAAATACTTAAACCAAGGCCGACTTCCAGGTGGAGAGGGTGGGCGGAGGTTGATGGGGTGCCGAAACCATTCTCACTCTGCGCCATCTGAGAGCACAGCATGGTGTGCTCAGAGCCCAGGGCAAGCTTTCCCCCTCCCAAACCCCAGACCTTGAGAAAGCTGACACTGCTTCGTTTTCAGCATTTTGGGGTTTTTTTGTTTGTTTGTTTGTTTTGCCAACCTTTGTCTTTTCCTTCAATAGGCATTTGTTACTGACTGCTCATGTGCCAGGCACTGTGCTCGACATCAAGGACACAGAGTCTGTAATCAAGACACCATCTAGAGGGGAGGACAGGCAGGAAAGCAGCGACAGTCCTGTATAATATACACTATAAAAGGAGATAAATATGGGAGCAGGTTGTGGGGGACACCCTCTACACTGGGGGATCATGATAGGCTTCCTGGAGGTGGTAGATTGGGGCTGAGTCTTTTAGGCCAGTGGAAAGGGTGTGTGGGCAAGTAGTCTAGTGAGCAGAAACTGGCTGTGCCTGGAAGCAGGAGCCTGGAAGTGGTACAGTTTGTCCCAGGGGCTTCTCAGGAGTTTAGCTGAGGAGGAGAGAGTTGGGGTGGGCTGATGGGACATGAGGCTAGAAGAGGGCGGAAGCCAGATCATGAAGGGCTCGGGGCACCATACCAGGAGCTTGCTGTGCCCTTTTGCAGATGTGGACGAGTGTGCCCAAGGACTAGATGACTGTCACACCAATGCCATCTGTCAGAATACACTCACCTCCTACAAGTGCTCCTGCAAACCTGGCTACCAAGGAGAGGGCAGGCAATGTGAGGGTAAGTGGCTTGGGGACTGGTGGTAAATGAGCCAGGCAGGTGAAGGTTCCCACCCCCTTAGCTCTCGCGGTGGCCACTCATGTTGGTAAAAGTGCTGCTCTACTACCCCCCAGCTCATACCACCCACCTTCTGAACTACATTCCAGACCTTTAACGCACTAGGAACACCAGGTCTTCCCTAGAGCTGATCGTGTAGTTTTATGTGGTTCTGAAACGTTCTTTCATCTAGCTTGTGAAAAGGAAAAGAGGTGTTTTACTATTTTTGGTCCCATTCAGTTTCGGGGCAGAAAGTCAACAACCATATTGATCAGGAGAGCCATGCCAGCCAGAAAAGGACTGATCATGCACCTTCCTGGGGCAATTTACACCCTTGCCCTGGAGTCTGAGTGCAGGAGTCCTGCCCTCCCCTGCTGGCTCTGGAGGCTCCATCTTGCTCATGGCTTTGGGCTGTTTGGCATTGTGACCTCCTAAGCTTTAGAAGCTATACCAAGGGCCTGTCTCACTTGGAGCTGCATGTTCACCCTGGAAAGATGTGCAGAGGGATATTTTAAGACCTTAGAATTCTAGATCAGTAGAGCCTCTAGTCTGGACTCTGCCATCTTGTGTTCTGGGCCAGTGTCATGAACACTGAAATCCAGAACTGGGCAAAGACTGAGCACTCATAGGAGAAGGAGATTCCTGGGGATGGAATCATGGCATGTTGGAGCTGGCAGGGCCCTTCAGGGAGCTCTGAGCCATTCCCATCCCTCAGATGTGAGACACTGAGGCAGGGGAATTGGGAAGGGGACTTGTGGCCATAATCACACAGCTAACCTGCAGGTTGAAGAAAGTCAGGATTTACCCTAGCTCTGTCCCTGGACCCATATCTCTTGTATTCACTCAACCTCCTGGTGTCCTTTGGTGGGTGAGAAATCCTGTTTCTTATACTATCCTTTGTGCACAAGGTGAAAAATTTGCTTCTCCTATCAGAGGAAGTGTACTTCTGGTCAGGTTCATAGCAGATGGGGTTGGTAGTCCATCCTTAAAGTCTTTGTGTTTCTCTAAGATCATGTTCTTCCAGAGACAGATAGCCACCTTTCCCTCTCTCTGTCTTATTACATCCTGGGAGGCCAAAAGGCTGCCTCTCCCTGAAACATATCTTTGCAGATTCCTCTGTACCATTTCCTCACTGTATTAAATATTCTACTTATAGTACTGGAATTCACACATGTTGGTACTCTGCTTGGGGAAAAAAATGGTTTACATTTTCACTGATTTTCTAGTCACTGTATACTCTCAGAGTGGGAGGGGGGCAGACACTATGCCAAGGTTTCTTTGAGGTAGAGGACATACTTAGTAAGAGACGTAGAATGACAGGTGGCAAGAATTTCCTTATTCTTAGTTGTTGGGCTTGACATTAGGGCACATGAAATTGAATCGCTGACAATTTTTCATTGAAAAGTCAACTATTGGGCAGCCCAGGTGGCTCAGCAGTTTAGTGCTGCCTTCAGCCCAGGGCCTGATCCTGGAGACTGGGGATCGAGTCCCACGTTGGGCTCCCTGCATGGAGCCTGCTTCTTCCTCTGCTTGTCTCTGCTGCTCTCTCTCTCTCTGCCTCTCTGTGTGGTCTCTCATGAATAAATAAATAAAATCTTTAAAAAAAATGAAAAGTCAACTATTTAGTTTAAAATAACTAATGATTGACCAGAGTTGCTGCTTTTATATATCTAAATTGGCGTTAAAATAATAATATTGGGCAGCCCGGGTGGCTCAGTGGTGTAGCACCGCCTTCAGCCCAGGACCTGATCCGGGAGACTCAGGATCGAGTCCCATGTCAGGCTCCCTGCATGGAGCCTGCTTCTCCCTCTGCCTGTGTCTCTGCCTCTCTCTCGCTCTCTCTGTGTCTCTCATGAATAAATAAATAAAATCTTTAAAAATAATAATAATAAAATAACATTTATTGTTATTATGAAAAGTCAAACATAGAAAATGTATGAAACAAAATTAAAGACCCTCTTATCCCTTTATCCACAGGTAATCACTGTTAGCAGGGAGCATATATTCTTTGTAGTGTAATTTAAAACTAAAACTCCAGAGGGATATGATCTTTTACATACTTGTAGTATTTTTGAATACCTATAAAGTTAGTGAGTAAGGATGTCCCTCTTTAGTTTGGATTTCTTGATGCAAGAGTCGAGAAGCAGAAACTTTCTTTCAAAAAGGAAAAGGAGAGAAAATGAAGATTGCAAGGATTCCAAGATGTAGATATTTAAAGATGTAATTCTTTTATGGGTGTTCCTTCGCTTAATGGTTTAAACCTCTTGAGTCCAACCCATGGTATCATGTATGTTGTGATTTTTGTCAGCTTCACTGTTACTGTTTAAGTATAAGGATGGGAACTGGGTTTGCCTAGAGTGACCAGAATTTTATCCTCTATAAAGTTTCTTTTGCCAAAATGTTGGAGAAATGAAAATATGGGCCCTGATAAGTATTTTGAAAATAATATGATTCCAAGGTGGCTTTGAATAAATTAAGTTTTATTCTAAATTATTTTTGTTTATATCTCAGACTTCGGGGATGGGGATATTTCAGTGGTCAGTGATCATTATATGGTTCTTTTCTATTTAGAGAACTGAATGAATCAAATTTAACAAGAATGAATCTAAACTTGGCCTTTTAATTAAGGAGCTGTATTTTTGTGGGTTTTTTTCTGTTTTTATATATTTTTAAAAAGATTATTTATTTATTTATTTATTTATTTGAGAGAGAGAGAGAGAGCACAAGTGGGGGGGGGCAGGAGGAGAGAGAGAAGCAGACTCCCCATTGAGCAGGCAGTCTGATGTGAGAGTCTGTCCCACGACCCTGGGATCATGACCTGAGCCGAAGGCAGATGCTTAACCGACTGGGCCACCCAGGCACCCAGAGCTGTGTTTTCTAAAAGCGCATTTTATTTTGGAATGATTTTAAATTTCAGGAAAGTTGCCAAAGTAATGCAGAATTCACATATGCCCTTCAATTATCTTACCCTGACGTTAACAACTTATATAACCATAGTACAATATCAAAACCAGGAAATTAACCAATTAACATCGGCACAGTACTTCTAACTAAACTATAGATTCAGATTTCACCAGTTTTTTCCTAATGTTCTCCCTTCTCCGCACCACTCCCCAGGCCATTCCAATTCAGAGTCCCACATAACATTTAGTTGTTGTGTCTCCTCTGTCTCCTCCAATCTGTGACGGTTCCTGTCCTTCCTAGTTTTTCATGACTTGGACACTTTGGATGAATACAGCTGAGTTCTTTTGTTTGCCTTATGTTTTTTTCATAATAAGAATTGATACGGTAGGAATTGGCACAATAAGAGAATGTCGTATGTTTTCTCATGAGAAAATTAAGATTATGTATTGTAGTAATACAAAAAGTAAAGATTTTGACAAGGCTACCATAGAGGTGCTGTGTGCTTTTTAGCACATTTCACGGTGGGAGAGGCACATGACATTAATATGCCCCATTACTATCAAAGATATTAACTTTGATCATCTAGTTGAGATGGTGCGTCCTGGATTTCTCCACTGCAAAGTTACTATTTTTCCCTTTTGCAATAAACACACATCTTAGGGCAGATAATTTGTCTATGCTAATATCCTGTTCCTTCTCAAGTCTTTGCCCACTGATTTGAGCATCCAACTGTGGATCTTGCCTGTAACAGTTATTACTATGATATAATAACTGATAATTTGATATACGTTTTTTAACTGAGATTCTTCTGTAAGGAAGATATTTTGCTTCTCCCCTGTTTATTTATGCATTGATTTATGTATTTATGCCAGAATGGACTCATGGGTATTTAATTATATGTATATTTAATTATAATTTGTTTTGAGCTCAAATTATTCCAGCTTTAGCCATTGGGAGCTCCTTCATATTATTTCCTGTGGCCTTTTGAGAGGATGAGACCTCATATTGTTTTCTGGTACCATAAGATGTCACAGACACATCTTGTATTTTCCCTTCCTCTGCCCTGGAACCAACCACTTCTACAAGGAGCTCTGGTTCCTTTGATTGGAAAATGGTGCATAGAAACCAAAGTCTGGATGCTTGGTGTTCTCATTGTTACTGGGATGTCATTGTTCTTAGGCTTTCTCAGTACACAGACCTAGGAAACATATGTATGTATCCTAACCCACACATACACATTTATCTATATTTAGTCCATATATATATGTATTTGTACATATATTAAAAACAATGACTTTACACTGATGTTTTGGATTACAAAGCAATGCCACAAGAGTTACTCAGTCTGTCTCTTTGCTTATTCATAACTTCTTTCTCCAACGGTGAGAAAGGTGGCTCTCATTATCTGTGATATAGTTAGTTACCTGTTTGTTCAATCCAAGTATACACATAAATAATGTACAAAGCTACTAATCCATAGTCTTGCAAGTAAAACAGATTTACTAATTAGAGGACAGTATTTGTATATAGCTGTTTTTATTTTTAGCCGTACAACATTTAGTCAAGATGTTTCCAAAGTTACTTGGCTAATCCTTTTTCCTACATTTCCCTCAGTGTGGTTGTTATTCATTTGTTATACAGCTAAGTTCATTTGTTTCTCTTTGTATCCCATTTTTATTTGTTCCCCCCACCTCTGTACACTGGTTGACTGTATGTATGTACATATATACATATATATGTATGTACATAAAAATGTATGTCCTTATGTATGTCTGTATGTATTCATGAATATATCACTATGGTTCCAAGAGTCAAAACTATAAAAATGGCATACTCAGAGGGAGTAATACTCCCTCTCCCTATTTCTGTTCCCCTGTTTCACATTCCTCCTTTTCATCCTTTTCCCACGCACCATGGATCACCAAACTCTCTAATTTCTGGTTTATCCTTCATGCCTCCTAGATTTCTTTTGCAGATTAATGGGTCTTGTCTTTCTTTCTTTCTTTCTTTCTTTCTTTCTTTCTTTCTTTCTTTCTTTCTTTCTTTCTTTCTTTCTTTCTTTCAGAAGATGAGAGAGAACAAGCATGAATGGTGGGGCACAGGGCCGAGGGAGAGAGAAAGAGAGAATCTTAAGCAGGCTCCATGCTTGGTATGGAGCCTGATGCAGGGCTTCATCTTGTAACTCTAAAATCATGACCTGAGGGCAGCCCCAGTGGTGCAGCGGTTTGGCGCCCCCTGCAGCCCAGGGCATGATCCTGGAGACCCTGGATCGAGTCCCACGTCAGGCTCTCTGCATGGAGCCTGCTTCTCCCTCTACCTGTGTCTTTGCCTCTCTCTCTCTCTGCATCTCTATGAATAAATAAATAAAATAAAATCTTTTAAAAAAAATAAAATCATGACCTGAGCTGAAATCAAGAGTCAGATGCTTAACTGACTGAGACACCCTGGTGCCCTGATAAATGTGTATTTTCTTTTTAACTACTTAAGTGAATTCTAACCATAAAATTGACCAATTCAAACTAAGTGTACAAATCAATGATTTTGAGTAAATTAACTGAGTCAGTCGTGCAACTATCACATAATATAGTTTTCAAACATATTCCTTATCTCAGTAAGATCCCCCATTCCCAGCCCCAGCTTTGGACAACCTCTAGTCTACTTCCTGTCTCTACAGATTTGCCTTTTCTGGATATTTCATATAAATAGAATCATATAACATGTGGTATTTTGCTTTTGGCTTCCTTCACCTAGCATGTTTTTGAGATTCATCCATGTTGTAGCCTGTACTGGCATTTTATTCCTTTTTACTGTTGACTAGTATTCTATTGTATGGATATCCATTCACCAATTGATGGATATGTGGGTTGTTTCTACTTTTGGGCTATCATATATAATGTTGCTATGAACTTTTACCTGCAAGTCTTTGTGTGGATATAATTTTTCATTTCTCTTACATATATACTTAGAAGTATATAGACATTTCTAGATTGCATGTGAAATTTATGTTTAACCTTTTAAGAAACTGCTACACTGTTTCCAAAGTGGTTATTCTATCTTACATTACCATCAGCAAGGTATGAGTGTTCCCATTTCTCCACATCCTCATCAACATTTTTCTCTTCTTTTTTTTATTTTTATTTTTTATTTATTTTTAAAAATTCTCCATCAACTCTTTGTTTTTCTTTTTTAAGATTTTATTTATTTATTCAGGAGAGACACACAGAGAGAGGCAGAGACACAGGCAGAGGGAGAAGCAGGCCCCATGCAAGGAGCCTGACGTGAGACTCGATCCCGGGTCTCCAGGATCACGCCCCGGGTGGAAGGCAGGTGCTTAACTGCTGAGCCACCCAGAGATCCTTGTTTTTCTCTTTTTTAAAATCAAAACTGTTCTAGTGAGTGTGAAATGGTATCCACTGTGGTTTTAATTTGAATTCCAATAATAATTAACAATACTGACCATTTTTCATATGCTTATTACCCATTTGTATATCATTTTTGGTGAAATGTCTATTCAAATCATTTGCCCATTCTGAAATTGGGTTGTTTGTCTTATTATTGCTGTGATAATTCTTTGTAAGTCCTTTACAAGGTACGTGATTTGCAAATATTAAAGTTTTGAATTTTTTATAAACTCCAACTTATTAATTTAAAAATTTATGACTTGTGTGTTTGGTGTTATAGCTAAGAAATCTTTACCTAATCCAACGTCTCAGATTTTTCTCATAAAAGCTTTGTTTTTTCTTAAAAGTTTTATAGTTTTAGCTCTTACATTTAGGTCCCTAATCTATTTTGAGTTGATTTTTGTGTAGGTGTGAGGTCTAAATTCATCTTTTTGCATATGGATATTCAGTTGTCTCAGCACTATTTATTGAAAAACTATCATTTCTCCCAATGAATTGCCTTAGCATTCTTGTCGATAATCAAGTGAGCATAAATATAATGGTTTATTTCTAGACTCTCTGTCCTGTTCCATTGATCTGTATGTTTTTCTTTATGCCTGTACCACACTGTCTTGATAACTGTAGCTTTTTGTTAAGTGAAAGTCTTCCAAATCAAAGGAAAGTTCTACTTTTTCAATATTGTTTTGATTCTTCTGAGTCTTTTGCATTTCTGTATACATTTTAGGATAAGCTTGTCAAGTCTACCAAAAAGCACGCTAGAATGGGTGTATTTTTCATATTCCCTTATTTTTTTTACATGATAACAAACTACAGATACTCTTGGATTTTGATTAATTTAATTAATTAATTAATTAATTAATTTTAAAAAAGATTTTATTTATTTATTCATGATAGAGAGAGAGAGGCAGAGACACAGGCAGAGGGAGAAGCAGGCTCCATGCAGGGAGCCCGGACGTGGGACTTGATCCCGGGACTCCAGGGTCATGCCCTGGGACAAAGGCAGGTGCTAAACCACTGAGCCACCCAGGGATCCCCCTGATTATTTTAATTTAGTAGTATATCCTAGAAATCACCCCAAATCAGTTCATTGATATCTTTCTCATTCTTTTTTTTTTTCAACAGCTGCATGGTACCTCATTGAATAGTTCTTCAACTACTCTCCTATATATGGGCACTTAGTCTGTTTCTAGTATTTTGTGATTACAAACAATACTGCAGTGAATAACCTTGTGCATAATATTTTTCCTGTTGTTGGAGCTGTATCTTCAGGGTAGATTCCTAGAAGCGGGATGACTGATTAGAAGTTAAATATGTGGGGATCCCTGGGTGGCGCAGTGGTTTGGCGCCTGCCTTTGGCCCAGGGCGCAATCCTGGAGACCCGGGATCGAATCCCACGTCGGGCTCCTGGTGCATGGAGCCTGCTTCTCCCTCTGCCTGTGTCTCTGCCTCTCTCTCTCTCTCTCTCTCTCTGTGTCACTATCATAAAAAAAAAAGAAGTTAAATATGTATATCTCCATCCTAAAGAATTGGCCCCAGTCTGGCTTACTTCTCTTTTATTCTTCAGATATTGATGAATGTGAAAATGAACTCAACGGAGGCTGTGTCCATGACTGTTTGAATATTCCAGGCAATTATCGCTGCACTTGTTTTGATGGCTTCATGTTGGCTCATGATGGTCATAATTGTCTTGGTAAGGAAAATGGTTGGAAATGGCAAGATCTCCTTCACCTACCCTCTGGCACCCCACCCTTTTGTTTCCTTTGATGAAAACATACTTATTAAAACAAAAAGGCGATCAGAGACTTGTGTTTTCTGGCCCCCTAGAAATCACATTCCCTGATAGAAAACCAGGTAAAGTGCTTTAGTTTTTATGATCATTCATGATATCAATTCTCCATTAGTCTAAGGAGACAGACATCATTGTTGTTACTTATTTCTAGCATTGACTTGTCACCTTCAAGATCTCTGATCTTGTGTGAAAAGACTTATAACAGTTTCTTTAATGGTGTGAGTATCTCTATCCTAGAATTAGGTAAAACTCCTTATTCTGAAAATTCCAAATGTGAGACTATTCTAAATGTATGATTGGATCTCTGCCAGGTAATCTCACCCCCTTTTTTCTTTTTTTTTTTTTTTTTACTTATGATAGTCGCAGAGAGAGAGAGAGAGAGAGAGGCAGAGACACAGGCAGGGGGAGAAGCAGGCTCCATGCACCGGGAGCCCGATGTGGGATTCGATCCCGGGTCTCCAGGATCGCGCCCTGGGCCAAAGGCAGGCGCCAAACCGCTGCGCCACCCAGGGATCCCTCACCCCCTTTTTTCTTAAGAGACAGAAAAGTTCAAACAGAAAACTTCCATTAACATCCTCCTATTATTCCCCAAAACAGAAACATCTGTTGGAGTTTTAGTCTCTGAATTAGGGGCTGCAAAGGACATTGTTTGTGTTGGTTGCTTATGCCAGGAATAAAACAGAATTCAGAAACAGCCAACAATTGGATGGGGCTGAGTATTGAATCATCTTAGAGGATGCAGCACACCTGGCAGACAGGTATCTGTGGTCTGTTTGCATTTTAAGGCTGGTGCTACCAGTTGTACAGGAGGACATCATGGGAGACAGAGGGCATCAGGGTCCCTTAACCCTTTAAGTGGTTAACTTGCTGATGTCTGCTTGGCTGACCAAGGAGTAATTTCAGCCAGACCCTGACACGGGGACAGCTACTGAGATGCCCGTTATAGTATGGCGGAGTGGCTGCTTGATTAAATGCTTTGAGATCAGCATAAAAGTCACTAGATAAGAATAGACGGAACTTGTGTTTTGAGTGGTGGAGAAGGATACTTTCCCATCTGGGAATCAAACCTTGTATGACGTTTATCCCACTTCAGTGTCACCTAGAACCCCGTCTTGATAGAGATCCTGTCCCTTCCTGTTTGCACGCTGTGTGAGAGGTCAGTCTTTGTGTCAGAACACTTGGCTTTCCAAGCCTGCAGCTGTCAGGAAGATTTGATTGAGGGCTGAGGGCTCACTAACTCCTTTGCAGACTGTCTAGGGCAGTCAGGACCATGAAAAGACACTAGAGAGACAATCCTGTAATAGCAGTCAATTGAGATTAATTAAAAACTCAAAAACAAAAACACGCACAAAAAATCCCAATAAAGTTATTTTCAGTGTGTAATTTTTGGGGAAGCATGCAGTGTGTTTTGGGGGCTTTGTTCTGTTTTTACCATTTTCTGGGGGGAAATTTCACATTTCCTTTTTGACTTGCATTTTGGGGAATTTATGTCTACTGGCAGATCCAGTCATCATAGTTGTGCTTAAACTCCAGGTTGTGCCTGGGGAACGTGTGAGCTTCCTAAGAGCAAGAGACTAAACCATCCAGGGTTTAAGGACCTGGGCCAAGTTTGGGTTGGATGGTTCTAAGTAAAGGCCAGCTCAGAAATCCTGAGGCCCAGAGTCTTTTCTTCCCTTGGCTATTTACACAGATATTTCAGCAGACTATCTCCATTTCCTGTCCTTGGGGTCTCTTTGTGGCCTTGGTAGCAAGCTTGTGCCCAGCAGAAATATACTGAGTATCTGCAGGGATAAAGATCTTTTAAAGGAAGCCATGAGCAAATGAAATGGTATAGTAAGAAAAGCAGGACCAGCAGACAGTAATTTCTGTGCCATTTAGACTTGAGAGGGCTGAAGCATTTTGTGATAAGGAAGTTCAGAGCCAAAACTTTTCAGGAGCAGCACTTTCCTGCATTCTCTGGGTTGACCATTGACCACTCCTTTGCCTTTTATCACACATTAGCCACAAATATATTAGCCAGAATTTACACAGTACAAATACCACTTAACTCTGGCACCAGACCCAGAGTCTTCCAAGATCCTGAAGGTCTATGAGCCTGAAAAATGAAATGCAGCTCTTTCACATAGCTCACCTGTCTGAATTCAGTTTCTATTTATTGAGTGTCTAGGAGTACTTCCTAGCTATTCAGTGTTGTGGCAGTGGTTCTCAGCTCTGGCTGTACATTAGAATTATTCAAGAAGTTTAAAATAACACCATTGCCTAGGTCTCATCCAAGAATAATTAGATCAATGTCTCAGGAGGTGGAGTCCAGGCATCTGGGTGCTAACATGCTGTTGGAATTGAGAACCACTGTCTTGTAGTCTGAAGAAACTCGTCAAGTGAATGATAACCTCTTTGTGCATGTGCATGTGAACACACACACTTTTATGTTAATCCAGTCAGAGTACATTACCCAACTCAATGACACATTTCTAATGGCTTTGGAGAAAGGAATAGTAGGTTAAATTCAGGGTGGGTGGGTGGCAGCTCAGAGGGGAGTATACCTTTACTCAAAACCAATTCATGGGCAACCCGGGTGGCTCAGTGGTTTAGTGCCGCCTTCGGCCCAGGGCCTGATCCTGGAGGCCCCGGGATCCAGTCCCATGTCAGGCTCCCTGCATGGAGCCTGCTTCTCTTTCTGCCTGTGTCTCGCCTCTCTCTCTCTCTCTCTTTCTCTCTCTGTTTGTCTCTCATGAATAAATAAATAAAATCTTCAAAAACAAAAACAAAAACAATCCAGGATTTGGAGTGCAGGGAAACAGATCTCTCCTGCTCACCATGAGTCCTCACCATGGAACACCTTAGCCAGATATATTCCAGTGTGGCTTATCCTTTGGAATGTGCTCTCTTTACTCTGGCATAGAGAAGGGCAAGTTTGTTAGGCTTGAGGGGATGGCTTGAGTCCCATCAGTTTAGAAAGACATCTGCCTGGTAGTGTGGGAGGATGCATGACTGTAAGATCTGAAACTTGAAACCAGATAACAGATATTTAAATGTGAATTTTCTTGTTATGGATGTGCCCAGAAGCTAGTGATAGGCACATGGGAAATCAGGCTGGAGAAATAAATGGCTTTTATTAATTTTTTTAGATTTAATTTCTTTATTTGAGAGAGAGAGAGAGAATGAGCACAAGTGAGCAGGGGGAGGAGCAGATTCCAATGCTGAGCACAGAGCCTGATGTGGAGCTTGATCCCTCAACTCTGAGATCATGACCTGAGCTAAAATCAAGAGTCAGATGCTTAACCGACTGAGCCACCTAGGAGCCCCAAAATAAATAGTTTTTATACCAGCCTTCTCCTTGAGCCTTTGTCATATCTGAGATTTTTCTGGAAGTTTCATCTGCTTTGGCTCTGGTGATGCTATGCTCTACTGCTTTTTTGTTCATGCATTGAACAATTAATGTACAGCTGCAGTGTCCAGGGCTGTGCTAAATACAACAAAAATCTCTGTCCTTAAGAAGTCAGCAGTCTAGTGGAGATGGATAAGTGAAAGCTATGAGGTGTCAAAAGGTACAAATTAAAAAAAGATTTGAGAATGCGATGTGTTAAGTGTATTGATGGAGCTGTGCACAGAGTAATGTATGACACAGTGGCAGGAAGGTCCCTTAACTCTACCCTGGGAGGTGGTGGAAGGTAGTTGGAGGAGGACTCACTGCCTTTCTGTCTTTCATGGCTCCTTCTCTGGGGCTTCTGGTATCTCCTCTCCCTCCTCCTGCCCCTGGCATTCTCCTGACTTCTACCTCTGGCTGTGTGCTCACTGCAGCCCTTCTCTTCCTTCCCTCTCCTGCCTTTGGCTTCCTCACTGACACCCACTTTCAGGCCACCAAAAGTAAACAGCATTCAGAGGTGGCTTTACAACACCAGATTCAGGTTTCCCACTGCCTCCTGGACCAAGGGTTGACTATCAGCATCTCACATATACCACCTCCCTACCATGGTTGGGTCCAAGCACATCTCCACCCTCACTTCCCCACCCAGCTCTGGTCTTCATGTTTCTCGGCACCCCCATCCAACGCTCATGTGGTTCTCCACCCTGCAGGCACCTTGCCCACAGTCCTCTTCTATTTCTTCCTTCCTAGGCACCCCCTGGCCAAGCCCTAGGTCTTGTCCCAGCTGAGGCTATTTGAGGTATACCTGTGAAGCCAGACTCCCAGGCTTTTGATTCTTTTCCTTCCTTGTGTTCTACCCTTGGCTACCACCTTCTTCCCAACTCAAGGGTCCAACCATGTTACTCATGCTGCAGTGGTTTGCAGCTGCCTCTCAAATCAAGGTGGAACTTCTTTGCCTGGTATTCAAGGTCCCTCCATGGTGTGACTCAATCTATTCCCAGCTTCATCTCCTGGAACTTACCTGTAGGTAACTGTACCTGTGCTCCAGCTCCATTGAATGGCCACCCTTATCTGGGCATACTCCATGCTCTCCAGCACCTGCACTATGCTCATGCCCTTTCTTTTGCCTAGAATCCGTTCTCCTGATTTAGAACTGAAGACATCCTGTAGGGCCCATCTTTCATCAGCTTTTCCATAAAATCCATCCTGATACCGCACAACCAGGTAGTCTGGGGTCCCTGCTGACTGGGGTCCCTGCAGTCTGGGGTCCCTGCTGACTTCCGTTCTGTGAGCTTCTGTGATGCAGAGAAGGAAGAGGGACCTCATCTCTGCTTAGCAGGTGTCCCTGAGCTGCCGGGAGGGGAGGGCATTTGAAAAAGTCACAAAAGCAAAGGCTAATCCTCCTCTCCCTCCAGATGTGGACGAGTGCCTGGAGAACAATGGTGGCTGCCAGCACACCTGTGTAAACGTCATGGGGAGCTACGAGTGCCGCTGCAAGGAGGGATTTTTCCTGAGTGACAATCAGCACACATGCATTCACCGCTTGGAAGGTGCCTCTGCTCTGCTGTGGGGAGGGGAGCAAGAGGGACAGAGGGGAAGGGGCTGGGGAGGGTCACCTCTAGGGACCTTCCCTACCCTCTGTGATTTTTGAGGGGAAGCACAGAGTATGGAAGATCTGGAGGCCTGAGAATGAGTCCAGACCCTGCTACTGGGCAGTTTTACCTTCCTCACCTGGCAAAATAAGTGGGTTGGGCCGGGTGAGCTCTAAGGTCTCTTCAAACGCTCACATTCCTGATTCTAATCTTTAAATAGAAAACATTTCAAACATGACTAGATGTTTCAGGTGAAATGTAATGGACAATCTGCCAAGTTTTTCAGAAAAGGTGCTGCAAACCACAGCACCAAGTGTGAGCCTGCTCTGGGCTCTGGGTGGGTAGGGAGGGGCTGGAGCCTTTTTTATAGGGACTTACAGACCCAGATCTGGCCTTCCCTGTGTTTCCCATTTTTGAACTCTGAGTCTCTTTGGTTCCAGTGCAGAGGGACCCCTTCCCCAGATGTGGGCTTCCTATGTTCTGGTTTCCCCGTGCCACAGCTTCCTGTTCCTTCGTGAATTTGTAGACAACTCTGCTGTTGTTCTCTTTGCTTTGGGTCTATACCTTTCTTATTCCTCTATTAGTTCAGTGGATTCTCAGCAGGGGGAGAGGCATTAAGAACACGTGGCCATTAGAAACGACAAATACCCACCATTTGCTTCGAGGTGGATGGAACTGGAGGGTAGTATGCTGAGTGAAATAAGTCAATTGGAGAAGGACAAACATTATGTGGTCTCATTCATTTGGGGAATATAAATAATAGTGAAAGGGAATAAAGGGGAAAGGAGAAAAAATAAGTGGGAAATATCAGAAAGGGAGACAGAACATGAAAGACTCCTAACTCTGGGAAACGAACTAGGGGTGGTGGAAGGGGAGGAGGGCGGGGGGTGGGGGTGACTGGGTGGCAGGCACTGAGGTGGGCACTTGACGGGATGAGCACTGGGTGTTATTCTGTATGTTGGCAAATTGAACACCAATAAAAAATAAATTTATTATTAAAAAAAAAGAACACACTAAAAAAAAAAAGGAACACGAGGCCAATCAGCTGCTTTTAGCTGAATGACACATTTTTAAAATTTTATTTTTTAAAAGATTTTATTTATTTATTCATGAGAAACAGAGAGAGACGGGGGGGGGGGCAGAGACACAAGCAGAGGGAGAAGCAGGCTCCATGTAGGGAACCTGATGTGGGACTCGATCCCGGGTCTTCAGGATCACCCCCTGGACTGAAGGTGGCACTAAACCACTGAGCCACCCAGTGGTGGCTGCCTATTTTTAATTCTCTGCTCTTTCTTAAGCCAAAGAACCACATTTTGGTGGCTGTATTCCCCGGGGGTTGCCTGTGCATGTTTGTAAGGGAAGTGCTCTAAACGTTAGATTGTTAACTCATTTTGGCATGCACTACTGTTCATTCTCATAACTCAGGAATGAGGGGATTTTAAGTTCTGCTGCTATTTAATCACACATGAGTAGGTTTATTGTTTAATCATGGTTCTTGTGACTTTTCTTTTCTTTTTTCTTGTGACTTTTCAAGGGTGTCTTTGTGGAAGGTGATTTTTGCCTCATTTTCCAAGAATGATGAGTCCCTTCTCATACCTGACTAGAAAGCTGTTTGGGTACTAAGAATGGTTACAGGCCAGTGGGTCTGCTGAGTCTTATCACCCTGAGTCTGCTTGTTCTCAGTATTTGGGCAGGATAGACACACACTGGCTCTAATCAGGCAGATCTCTTATCTCATGCAGGCGTGGCCCTTGATAGAGTAGCAGTTGGGTTTCACATTCCTGGTAGTTGCTCTGGACTTTTCTGAGAGCCTTGCATTTGGGATGAGGCAGGATTAAGAAGCCAGCAGTAAGAGCAATCTAGATCTCAGGGGACCTCCTCTTTGGTTGCTCAAAGCTGCTTCCTGGGAAGTCACTTGGTTCCCCCACAGGTGCTGGGGACATGAGTGGGGATCTGTGGGTCAGGTTGTTTCTTGAACACAGTATGGATCACCCACTAGCAAAGCAACTTCACAGTTATTAAGATCATCTCTTACTCTTGCACTTCCAAAGCAGTGGCTCAGCCCCTTTCTGCCCTCTGGCAGGACCTCCAGACTGATTACAGACACAGGATCTTCATAACAGAAGTAAATACAAAAGCAGTTCCTTTCTGCAATCCTTGTTTTCTAAATTTTCTACAATTCAGACATTCTTGGATTCCCTGAAGAATATTTAAAATGAGTATACTTGTCTGGGGCTAAAACCAAAATCCAAGAATTTGAGTTGTGGTCTGGAAGGGCTCTCTGATTTTTTTAAAAAAAAAGATTTTTATTTATTTTTAAAGAGAGACAGAGACAGAGAGAGAGAGAGAGAGAGAGAGAGGCAGAGACACAGGCACAGGGAGAAGCAGGCCCCATGAAGGGAGCCCAATGTGGGACTCGGTCCCCAGGATCATGGCCCGGGGCTGAAGGCGGCGCTAAATCACTGAGCCACCCAGACTGCCCTCTCTGTGATTTTTTTTCTGTGGTGTTTCAGCCCGATCGCTTGGTGAATTCATAGCAGCATGAGCCAGCAGTTTGTAGTGGTCTATAACTGAGACCCTGTCCATCGAAGGTTTTACCTCTTCAAATAGAGCAGTCTGTAAACAGTGTTCCTTTAGGATTTCCTCCCTGATGTGCACATTAAGCCCTCAGAAATGGTATTAAGGTGGACTTTAAAACCCCCCTGTTGAGACTCCAAAATTGATTAAGTGAAGGTAATACTGCAAGCTAGAATTTTCTAGTGTTTTGGTTGTTATTTTTAATAATTATTTACTAAATGATCTTCAGTTCAGGGGATCATAATAGATGATTCTGAGGGAAAGCTTAAGCTATTGATTTTTTTTTTCTCAGAGACCCCAAAGCTCTGATAAAGAGACTGTGTGTTTTCACCCATGTAATGGGGGTAGGCTGGAGAGAGACATACTGCCCCAGTCAGGCTTTGTCCCTATTCATGGGTGCTCAGGCTCTGAAAATGAGCATTCCGCTTTTGTTTTGTCTGCTCTGAGAAGATTTTTCGATGTTTGCACTACTGCCTTTTCAAAGTAGGGGGAAGGTGTCAGGGCAGTGAGGAAGGGGCTATACTCTCAGTAGGGCCTGTTTCTGTCTTTGATAGAATCTTTTTCACTGTTTGCAAGGCCTGTTTTTATTCAGTTTCCAGAAATATTCTTCAGTGGGACCACTGCAATAGGATATTTGTAATGTTTTTTGAGCTATTTCCCTCTTGGTGAACTAACATTCCCAAACATGATTGGCAGCCCAATTTGGGGGTAAGGGTGGAGCCAGAACCGTGCCAGGGCCTCTCAGTTTAGACCGGACCCATCTGCCTCCCCGTAGCAGTGGCCTTATTTTTGGAGTCAGGGTACTGACTTTTCAGGGTCACCTTTTGAAAAGCCCCAGCATTTCCAGAGCCATTTTAATGCCTATTATCTCCTGGTAACTTTAGGTCTAGCTTGATATGATAAGACATCAGGGCACAACTTTTCGTGTATCCCCATGGCATCTGGCACACGGTCAGTTTTTTTTAAACACAGTCAATTCTTATGAAATATTTCTTGTGTAAATGAATTGCTGCTCTAAGGCAGTAAAGGTCACTTTGCAAATGTTTTTACAGACTTGTAAACAGAGTGAAAAGAAGCAGCAGTGGCTGACCTGTTTGGGGACTTGTGCTTTGCTGGTGTTGCTGCTGCCCTTTCTTGGGCACTGTTATGTTTTGCCCTATGTGCTCCTGGCACCTGTGATCCAAAATGCTCTGCTGATCCAAGGGCAAATGTAATTCTTCCTAGGCCTTCCTAGGAGGACAGGACACTGTTTCTGGAGGCAGCTCTCACATCCTGTGCCGCCTCAGTATTGGGAGCAAGTAACATTTCCAAAAATCACCAGCCAGAGCTGAGAGAAAGCTTTGCTCTGATCCAGTACAAGCCTCATTCTGTATTAATTGACAGCAGCCTTGGCATGGGTGAATGAATCTCAGCAACTTCCTGCAGATTGAGTGCTGGAGTTCAAACAGCTTGTAACTGTCAGCTAAAAAACAAAGTGGTTTTAAGAGAGTATGGGATGTATTAACTATTATTCTGTCTTTTGGAATAGGAATGACATCTGTTTGTATTAAAATAGCTATTCCAGTTAAGCATAGATCAACGGCTCTGTGGTGAGAATTGGAGACAAATGATTTTTGTCTTAATTAGAACCAATTGCCTAAGGTTTTAGGGGTACAATACAGAACAGTGTAGGATCCCATAGAAGCTGAATGAAAACTTCTTGCACTCATGTTTAAAACAGTGCTACTTCCCGTGTGAGAGGGCGTCTTGGTTGAGAACAAAAAAACCTACTCTCAGAGATGTTCATTGCATGGATGCAAAGAAGCATCAGATGGGCATGTCCTCAATAGTAATACAGGGCAAACTGAGCAGAGGTTTTGAGAATACTCTAGGGTGTGGTAGTTCCTCCAGAGCACTGGCAGGTGGCAGGGTCTTAAAGAATTGGTTTTGAGAAGTGGTAGGATTCTAGCAAACCACACAGACCCACACTATGTTATGACCCCTTCATTGAAACGCGTGTTAAACCAGCTGGAAAAATAACCCGCTTCCCTGCACTGTGACCACAAGATTGGACCTAATGAAGATCATAGTATACCTGGAAATAATTTTACAGCCACTGAAGGAAACCACACATGTGAGGTCTCTCTCTGTTCTCTGTTGTTGTGTTGCTGCTGCGCTCGGAGGCTTCTGGGGGGTGGCGAAGGTCCAGGGACTGAGAGTGGTCACAGAAGAGAGGCCCCTGGGCTGGTGTCCATGTGCTGAGGCTTAAATGCAGCAGTCGCAGTCACCTCCAAAGTGTGGATTCGGTTGGGGTAGAGAAGAGGGTTGACATTTTCAGAAAATCCTCTTCAAGAGTATGTGAAAGAGTTGGCAGTCTTCATCTATGTGCACATTTTCTTAGAGAGATTCTCCTTCTTTGTATTCTTGGTCAGCAGGGGTAGGAGGAGTACCAGTTCCTGGGGTCTGCAGGCTGTGGTTCCACACCCACCAGCAAGCTCCTGGTGGGCACTTTCTTTTCCAAGTATTAGGAGGGCTCCTTCCTCTTGAGCCTTGCAACATCACTGCAACATCTCTTGGGTGACAGAGGAAAATTTTTATGTCTCTGTTAACTGGCCTGACTGGATTTTAATGACATGTTCTCTTAAAATGTGGGGCCGTGAAGACACAGGCAGTCAGGTCCCACCCTCCAGTCCTTTGCAGTGCCCCTGGGGCTCAAGATAGTGCTCACAGCCTGGTCACTGGCTGCATGCCGCTGTTTTGCAGAGGGTCTGAGCTGCATGAATCAGAATCATGGCTGTAGTCACATCTGCAAGGAGGCCCCGAGGGGAAGCGTCGCCTGCGAGTGCAGGCCTGGCTTCGAGCTGGCCAAGAACCAGAGAGACTGCATCTGTAAGTACAGACTAGCACATACCTGTGCTGGGAACCATCCTACCCCCAGAGGTTGTCTTCTGCAGTCCAGCAGCCGAAATGCCACCTCCTGGCAGAGCAGCTATATCAGGGCAGGCAGCTGTCCGCAGGATACTAACCTCCACTGACGGCTAAATTCGCTGCACGGGGTTAGTCTTCCCTAGGGAAGGAAGAGGATGCTTTTTAAGGGAACCCATCGAAGGAAATAAAATTCACAAGTCAGGACTGTGAATGCTGGGGGCCAGTCTCCCTGTTCCCATAGAATAAAATCAAATGTGGTCATCTGGCCATCAAAGCTCTTTGCTACCTGGTCCTGCTTCTTGTGCAAACCTCATCTGCCTCCTTTTCCCAAACACCCAACCTCTTTGCCTGTCGGAGAACAGCCCATGTTCCTTAGGTCTCAGGCCTTCCCCAAGCATTCCTCTCTGCCTGGCTTGGTGAATTCTCACTCAACCTTTAATATTCTGCTAACTTTTTTTTTTTAAAGATTTTATTTATTTTTTCATAGATACAGAGAGAGAGAGGCAGAGACACAGACAGAGAGAGAAGCAGGCTCCATGCAGGGAGCCCGATGTGGGACTTGATCCCGGGTCTCCAGGATCACATCCCAGGCTACAGGCGGCACCAAACCGCTGTGCCACCGGGGCTCCCCTATTCTGCTAACTTCTAATGATAATAATGATAAGGAGAGGTAGCTACTTTTGAGGGTGTATTTACTATGTGTAAAGGCTTGTCCAAAGATATAGCAATTTCATCAAATTCTTCATATCACCACCCTATTGAGCTAAGTATTATTATCCTCGTTTTCAGTTTGAGAAAATTGTGGAGAAGGTAAAGCAACAAGGTCACATAGAGAGCATGCAGCCAGTTAGGGTTCAGATGTAGGTCCTCCTAGCTCTAAGGCTGGTGCATCTTGCTAAATTGCCCAGAAGCCTGCCCTGACTGGCCCGGCCACCATTTTGTATTTTGGCTCCCACAGCGCTGTTGGTTCCTCAATGGGAGCACGTGACACCCAGGGTTGAATTGTGCATTTACGTGTCTGTCTCCCCAACTGTGAGTGCCCACAGTCAGGGACTTCGTCTTATTTTTGCCTCTCAGTGCCCCCACTGGGTGCCTACTACAGGTTGGGCTCAATACACATTTGTTTCATGAATGGTGTACACAGTTTGGACATAGCCGCCACACGATGATGAAACACAGGAATGAAACCCCAATTGGTAATAGGAAACAACCGGCCATTAACGGTGTTCCTAAAGTACTATTATGCTAGAGGAAACATGGATGATTTTCCTTTAGCAACTCTTCCCAAAGCCATGGACCTGCTGTAATTCCCCTGCAGTTTGCTAGGGATGGTTGTTTACAGTGAGTTGACCTTTGTGATTGAGAGATGAGGAGGTTGTTTCTTCAGTAAGAGCTTTCTCTCCATTGTCTCCATCACAAAGCAGAGTGTAGCCCTAAAACCTGACAAACCAGGGCTGGTGCCACCACCAGAAACAGATTCTGATAGGCTCTTAGGGCTCCTAAAAGTGAGGCTGTCCCTGAGGACTTCCGGTGGGCTGAACAAAGTGGAGACTGCTTATCCTGGCTCTAGGTATCCTCACAAGGAGGACCCAGGCCTCCAGAGGAGACTTGCTTGTGGAGTGAGATTCTTTGGCATTTCAGTTTTTCAGGGGCCAGTAGAATACTTGGGATTTAAATTTTAAAATATTTTTAAGATGTCACTTCTCCAATAATATAATCACATTTGAAGAAAGAACAAAAAGAAAAAAAAAAGATGCAGAATTCCACCACATAACCAGCTGCTTCACTTTTTTTTTTCTCTTCCTTCCTGCTACTTCACTTTGTTCTTATTCCTATTTAGTTGTTCTCAGGCATACACAATTTTTACATCACTGTAATCACAGAACAGTTTCTTTCTCACATCACAAATATGTATTTCGTTCTTTTAAGTTGGAAAAATTACAAATGCCTGGGTAATTCAAACAGTTTTAAGTGTGTAAAGAAAACCATATCCTTTCCCTTCCCATTTCTCTTGCCAAAGGTAACCACTGTTCAGTTTGATGAGTAGATTGTTTTGAGTTGGCTTCTCTGGTTACCCTCCCTTCTAACTAATCTAGATAGAATCTGATGAGAGAAATCCTAACATATAAATACAAATAAGTATTATCTGTTTCTTCCAGCCATAAAGTGCTATAACATTTTCTGTAGCCCCAGTACGGCCATATTAATATGCAAACTTCTCCTGATAGCCCAAAGCAGTAGTCTAGAATCTTTTGATATAATTCCTCTTGAATAGTGAAAATCTCCGTAGCCTTCCCATCCCCATCTTCCTATATAACTGCTCAAATCCATCATTTAGCATTTCTTGAATTCGTACTGTGACTGTCTATTCTCAGAGACAGCGTTACGCTCTGAGTCAGTTACTTCATTATGCACAATGCTGAGCACATACTAGGTGCTCAAATACTTGCTGAATGAAAATCAGAGATCTTCCCAAGCAAGCACAGCCCCGGGTTGTGGAAAACTCAGTGCTCAGTGTGTTGATTCATTTTCCTCTCAGTGACCTGTAACCATGGAAACGGTGGGTGCCAGCACTCCTGTGAGGACACTGCTGATGGCCCCGAGTGTAGCTGCCACCCACAGTACAAGATGCATGCAGATGGGAGGAGCTGCCTTGGTGAGTGACCCCTACACTTGGTAAGGGTCTGTCCCCAGCCCACCTGCCCACTCCTAACCCTAACCCTAACCCTATTAATGGTGTTAAGCACCAGATTCAGGGAGCTTCCAGTATTTGCCTCTGAATGGGTGCCGTGCAGCTTTACATGTGGCGGTGGGAATGAGTGGTCTAGTCCCGGGAGGGGGGTGTCTCTCTCTCTCTCTCTCCCCTCAGAAAGCCCTTTCTCTTCTCTTGGACTAGGGGGCTCCTGAAGATGGTATTCTGGAGACTGGGACATTACATCCTAAGGAGCAAGGGTGACATGAAGTTAAAGCTAGCCATTTGTAAGGACACAGTGGCCTTTATGGTCAGCAGAAGACAGTGTTAGAGTGAACCTGAAGCTTGCATTCCCTGGTGTCTCTTTGGTCACTGCAATATGCTTCAAAAATCTTTCTCATATTTAATGTTTACTAAGGCTCCATGGCCATTTAACGTGCTATGTTTCCCACAGAGCCTCATTACAACATATCTTTATTGAGTGAACAGAGTTGCATATCCTACATTGTTCTCATGTCTGGGGTTTCGGCAGAAGTGGTCGTACAGGGATCCCTGGGTGGCGCAGCGGTTTGGCGCCTGCCTTTGGCTCAGGGCGCGATCCTGGAGACCCGGGATCGAATCCCACGTCGGGCTCCCGGTGCATGGAGCCTGCTTCTCCCTCTGCCTGTGTCTCTGCCTCTCTCTCTCTCTCTGTGACTATCATAAATAAATAAAAATTTTAAAAAAATTAAAAAAAAAAGAAGTGGTCGTACAGGGGATGAGTAAACAGACTCGCTCTCTGCTGTCTCTTGTAGAGCAAGAGGATGCTGTTCCAGAGGTGACGGAGAGCAATGCCACGTCAGTGGTGGATGGCGATAAACGGGTGAAGCGGCGGCTGCTCATGGGTAGGCACTCCCGCCCCCTCCTGGGCACTGTCTTTTCCCTTTCCTTCCCTAACTTACTACATCAGACCTGAACCTGGGGCCCATACACCCTCAGATCAGCTGGACCAGGATCAGCAGCCCCTCTCAAGCTAGGCTGTGTTTGCTCTTCACCTACTACTGTTACTTAGTCACCATCTGAGGACCCTGCCATTGTGGGATGGACACCAGATGCCAGAATAACCAGGTTAGCCTCCCAGCACTGCCCCCCAGTTGCTGTAAGACTTGGGCAAATGGCCCTGAGCCTCTGTCTCCTGGTCTTTCTTGAAAATGGATGCAATTTAAAAAAAAAAAAATGAATGCAATAAAGCCTGCCTCTTAGGGTTATCAGGAAGCTCAGTGAGGATGATAATATGCAGAAGTGCCCAGAGTCCAATGCCTGGGACTTAGCGGGTGGTCAGTGAATGTCAATTCCAGTCCTTTTGAGTAACTATGACCAGGAAGGCACTTTGGGCAGTCCTTAGCTTAACATGGCAATCTGTTTTTGTCAGCTGGGTCCTCTTCTCTCTGACTTCAGCCCATGTCGATGGCAAAAGAGATGAATGGAGAAGAGTGGCACTTGGCTGTGGGATGTAAGAAGGTCTGCCAGCAAGTCTGCCAGCAGAGCTGGAGATGGGAGCAGAAGTAGAGGCGGTGGCTGTGGGGATGGCAGTCAGAACCTTTGGCACACTATTATTCTGGAGAAAGCTTGGCTTGACCTAAACAAAACTGACTGTTTGATAGCTTCTAGATTTAACAGGTAATATATTGAGCAGCCATTGGTTACCAGGCAGGTGACATTTCTGAACTCTTTTTTGCCCTCTTAAAGTTATTTTTAATTGTGTTAAGTTAAAATAGTACATATGAATAATATAAAAAAACCTTAAAAACCTAATTAGTGCTATGAAGCTTGTAATGAAATACATCATTTCCTTGCCTCTAACTTTCCATGCCCTCATTCCATTTGCCAGAGGCAACAATTATCATTTCTCTTAGTTGTTTCTTCTTCTCTCTTTCCCCCATATTTCTGAAAAGTGTATGCAATTATTTCTCTTTTTTCCAGTTCTATTATATTATACACTTATTTCTTGACATGTCAGTTTTAGATAGTAGCTTTGACTTCCTATTCCAGAGCACACTGAGTTTTAGCTCTCTCCTGCCCACTCCCAAAATGCACGCACACTCCCTCTCCTATAGTGGAGTTGTATCACTACTGAAGTCAAAGTTATGTATTTACATCATTGTAACTATAAGTATCTAAATGTGAGTCACCTGCACCATGTAGTTTGCTATGATTATTATTTTCTTTCTTTTCTTAGAAGTACGTAAAAATACTTCTAAGTGCCTCTTACCAGTTTTTTTTTTTTTTTTTTTTTTACAAATTTTGGGTGGCGTTCTAAAACCCTTTCAGTGTGTTCAAATACAGCAATTGACTTATTAATTCCATTTTCTTCTTAACAAGTGTCTTCTAGGGGCACCTGGGTGGCTCAGTTGGTTACGTGACTGCCTTTGGCTCAGGTCATGATCTCAGGGTCCTGGGATCAAGCCTCAAGACAGACTCCCTGCTCAGAAGGAAGTCTGCTTCTCTCTCTGCCCCTCCCCACTGCTCATGCTCTCTCTCTCATAAACAAGTAAAATCTTAAAAAAAAAAAAGTGTCTTCTGAGGCTTTCCCTGCTCTAGAGGGGCCCGACTCTCAGGGCTGGCTTGTACACCTCTCATTCCACTAGCGCCAGCCTAGGAAGGCCCTTCATCATGCTCCTGTGTCGGTAGACCCCATGTCTTCTCTGTTGTTAGTTCACATGAGGAGGTATATGTTTTTAAAAACCTCCCACGCCTGAAAATGCCTTTTGGGTTTTTGTCAGCTGCGTCCTCTTCTCTCTGACTTCAGCCCATGTGGCAAATGAGATGAATGGAGAAGAGTGGCACTTTATTGAGTATTTGGTTCAGTATAGAATTCAGAGTTGGGGATCCTTGGGTGGCTCAGCAGTTTAGCGCCTGCCTTCGGCCCTGGGCGTGATCCTGGAGGGCCCCTGCATGGAGCCTGCTTCTCCCTCTGCCTCGCTCTCTCTCTGTGTGTCTCTCATGAATAAATAAATAAAATCGTAAAAAAAAAAAAAAAGAATTTAGAGTTGTGAGTGTGAGTGCTGTATTATTTTCAAGGATTCGGTTTTGTTTCAAGAAGTCTAAAGTCATTTTTATTCTTGATCCTTTGAATGGAACCGACGAAAGCTTCTCTCTGGTTGCTTTCACAGTCTTCTTCTTGTCCCTGGTGATCTGAAATTTCACATTAATGACCCTTGCAAAAAAACAAAACAAAACAAAAACAGTTATGACTCTCATGATGGGACTTTATCCACCTGTTATACTGAAGACTTGATTGGCCTCTACAGTATGGATATTTGAGCCCCTTAGCTCCGAGAAAGTGCCTATATTTTTTCTTTGATAATTTTCTTAACTACATATTCTCTATTCTTTCTCTCTGGAATATCTGTTAGTTGACTATTTTAGCTCCTCTAATTTTCTTCTCTTTTCTTAAATTTTTGTTCTACTTCCTAGGAGATTTTTCTTTCTTTTTTTTTTCTTTTTACCCTCTATAGGATTCTTCTTAAATTTCTGCTTTCATATTTTAATTTTTCAAGAATTTTACTTTGGTATTTTATTGTAGGCACCTAATCATATTTCATGAATGCTTTTCTTATCTTTCTGGGGGAAATTATGAGATTTTTAAAACTTCTCTTTTGCTCCCTGTATTATCTTTGTTTCTTCCAAGTCCCTTTTCCCTTTTCATTTGATTTGGTGCCTTTATTTCATGTTAAAGGCCTTCCTGAAATGTCTGGTGATTCTAGGCTAGCTTCATATTTAATGGGGAAATACTAAAAAATCAATTGGATATTCTATCGGCTGGTAGGCTTTAAGCTTGGATGAGGCCACTAGGCAGTGGCTTACACATTTCATTTGGAGATCCTCAAATGCCAGTATCTATAGGTCTTTTCATTTGGACAGGCCAGTTTAGCTGGAGAGAAATCCTTTAGTCTCCTCCTAAGGGGACATAGACTTGACTGCCAGCGATCCTAGAGCTGGGGTGGTAGTAGTGGTGAGGCTTTGAGATCTTTCTTTTCAGAGTACACACTTTCACCTGACAGTGTCTCCTCCTCCCTCTCTGCTATTCCTGGTATCCTTGAGTCCAGTGTTTCTTTAGTTCCACTTCTCCAGAAGATACATTTCTCTGTGGTGGCCCAAATAGGAAAGAGGTGGAGTCACCTGGCTGTGGAATTTAGGAGGGGATCTGGGGTTTTATCTGTTTGTTATATAGACTTACTATCAATCTTCCTATTTTTAGCTCCTTTCTCACCTCTGCCTCTAGAGTGAGTTAGTATCTCCAATTCCCAGGCCTTTCTGGGTTCTGTGGCTCACATGAGCTTACCAATTGTTGGCACTCCCTCTGCAGATCACTAGGATTTAGCTTTCTGCTTTGTCCATTACTGCCTCTCCTTGACATGCTGCTTCCAGAATATTTGGTGTCTTTCATCTATTGTCTTTGCTTCTCTTTTCTCTGTCCTTAGGGATTTGTACTTTTTAAAAATTTTAATTTCAGAGTAGTTAACACAGTGTTGTATTAGTTTCAGGTGATTCAACACTTCCATATATCACTTGGTGCTTATCACAATAAGTGCCTTCCTTAATCTCCATCACCTGTTTCACTCATCCCCTCGCCCACCTCCCCTCTGGTAACCATCAATTTGTTCTCTATAGTTAAGAGTCTGTTTCTTGGCTTGTCTTCCCTTCTTTTTTTCCTTTGCTCATTTGTTTTGTTTCTTAAGTTCCACCTATGAGTGAAATCATATGGTATTTGTCTTTCTCTGACTTATTTCACTTAGCATACTACCCTCTAATTCCATCCGCGTTGTTGTAAACGGCAAGGTTTCATTCTTTTTATGGCTGAGTAATATTTCATTGTATATACCACATCTTCTTTATCCATTCATCAATCGATAGACATTTGGGCTATTTCCATAATTTGACTATTGTAGATAATGCTGCTATAAACATTGGGTGCATGTATCCCTTTGAATTAGTGTTTTCATATTTTGGGGGTAAATACTCAATAGTGCGATTACTAGATGTTAGGGTAGTTCTATTTTTAACTTTTTGAGGAACCTCCATACTTTTTTCCACAGTGGCTGTAGCAGTTCTTGATGCTTATACTTAAAAAAACCTATTCACTCTCATGCTAGTTTTTTTAAAAGATTTTATTTATTTGAGGGAGAAAGAGAGCACAAGCAGGGGGGCAGGGCAGAGGGAGAGGGAGAGCAGATTCCCCACTGAGCAAGGAGCCCAACTCAGGGCTTGATTTCAGGACCCTAGGATCATGACCTGGGCCAAAGGCAGACGCTTAACCAACTGAGCTACCCAGGTGTCCCTCATGTTAGGTTTAGAGAGCAAACAGAGATATACCTATTCTAACTGTCATATTTAACTAGAACTAAGCTTTCCCCCGAGGCTCTACATTGAGGTAGCTACTGAAGTAAAAGCAGTAAGTAAGACTAGAAAGACATTTGCTCATTGTCCCTCATCTCTATAGATGTTACTTAACAACTGTGGCTGATTTCATGTACTTCTAACAGTTCTTTCTCCTTTCAGGGAAAGGTAAACTCCTAACATGAGTTAATTGGCAGTTCCAAGAAAGTCATTGGTCTGCAGCAAGAGAATGGCTAGGGTAGGCGAAGCTTACCCTCTCTTGCTTCGCCCATTACTTATATTGAAGGGAGAGGGTTCAGGATTAAGGAGGGAACATCCCCCTTTGCCCTGTTCTGCATCCACATCTAGCTTGCCAGATGTGGCCACACTTAGCCGGTCAGTGGCTGTGGATCCATAGGAACTTGTATTGGCTTCAGATCTACCAGTAGGGGGGAAAAAGGCTCAGCAGGTTGGAGAGACACTTTTAACACCCTAACAAGCATCTTTGTGAGATGTCACTTATTTAGCTGGGTGAGAGGAGCTGCACCTGCAGGTGGTAGAGACTTGAGGTACAACTGTGAGTACCCCATCATGCTTCTTGGCTTCCATGAACTCTGTCAAGTATGAATCCTGCAGCCATATCCTTTCCTCCCAACCATATCAGCACTTCTTTAGCAAGCTAACTGTCTTTTTCTTACCTCCTTGTCAGAAACCTGTGCTGTCAACAATGGAGGCTGCGATCGCACCTGTAAGGATACTTCGACAGGTGTTCACTGCAGCTGTCCTGTTGGATTTACTCTCCAGCTGGATGGGAAGACCTGTAAAGGTAGCCTGTGCCTCTCCATGCTGCTAATGTGCAGGGATAAAGGGAGCTCTTCCCCTCCATTCCTCCTGAGTGACTCCAGATTTGCTCATGATTCATATTGATTGAAGCTTTTCTTCCCTTGGCTAGTGGAAGGTTATAATTGAGTAAGCTTAATTAGGACCAACTTAATTACATTAACTGTTGAGAAGGTCAGCTTCTGCAAGCATCAGATAACTCATTTCAGGCAGCAACCTTATTAGAAAAAGGCAGAAGTTCAAGAAAACATTCATTTGCAGGTGATAATATCAGTATATCATAAATAACAGCCTAGAGATTATGATATAAATAACAGCCAAGATTATTATTCAGAGAACTTAATAAATAGCTGTCCAATTAACTTTTGCTGATGAATAGAGACCTCAGTGACCTGCTAGTATTTTGTGGGCAAGAGTACAAAGGCTTCATTCTTTAACATTATAAAAAGCAGATAACCAGTTACCAGATGAAACTGAGAGAAGATAAGATTAATTTGAGTATCAGGAATCATTTAAAAGCATTGAGGCTACTTGATCATTGTGTAATTTGCCAAAACAAATGTTCTAATTCCTTATAATTTTAATCATTAAACTGGAATGGAAAGTATACCAAAGGGAGCCATCTTATCTCAAAAGAGCAGTGCAAGGATGAGAATGTAACAGGACATCACCATTCTTTCCCATAATCTGTTTCCTTAATGCTAGTCAAGGGTAGCACAAGTCAGAGTTCTCATGGGGATGAGGCACTCGTCTTTCCAAATTGGTTCAGCCAGACAAGAAAACATGTGAAAGATTAAAAACATCAGCAAACATCCTTAAATGCTTTCATGGGTCTGTTTTTGTTGCAGAGAGTAATGAAGCACGCACACAATAGCACGTCAGGGATTTGTGGAAAACCAGGCCAGTTTTGCTATCTGATTTGCTGATGCTTGCCTGTTACAGATATTGATGAATGCCAGACCTGTAATGGAGGTTGTGATCATTTCTGCAAAAACACTGTGGGTAGCTTTGACTGCAGCTGCAAAAAAGGATTTAAATTATTAACAGATGAGAAGTCTTGCCAAGGTATGTGCTGAAACGTAGCGGGGCTATGTGGTGCCCACTGATTGGAGCCGAGAAGATGAAACCCCACGCTGGCAGAGACTGGTTCATTGGGCTTCTTGATGGAGTCGTTAATCCAACCTCCAACCCATGCTTCACTTATTTCATTTGTTGGTAGAATAAAAACACTTATGTACCTCACAAGTATATTTTGAAATTTAAGCTGTTAATGATTAGAGAACACCTCAAAGTATCCATCTGGTGTGATTACAGCAGAGCTCGCTGCTGGAAATGGAATAGATCACAGAGTGTAAACAGGTTTGCATTAGGGTGTTGAGATTATGAATAATTTCTTTCTAAAATTTCCTTTAATTTTGTGGATTTTATAACAAAACTTGGTGGCAAAAAATATGTAGATTTAGTTAACATACCTTACCTTTTCCTAGAGGAAAGTTGGGGTCAACCCATAATCAAGGTCATGTACCAGCTGGTCTCTTCCTTATAGCCCTTGTTTTAATGAGCAACCAGCCTTTGGGGTTTGGGGAGAGGGATGGTGGAGAGGGATGGTGGAGGGGGAGGGGATTGAGTGGAAGCAAGGTTGGTCATTCCTTGGGCAGGATTGCAGACCCCCTCTTAGGTGCATTCCTTCTACACAAGTAGTGTCAAGGGAGCAGTTCTTGTTATTAATAACACTTTGGGGTGGTGGTAAGCTGTGTTGGATGAGGGGCATTATTTATATTTTCAGATGAGCACCTCTTATGCCCTATGGATATAGAGGAAGCCCTCTCAGGAAAGATGTGCTGCCATGTAGTCTTGTTCTGTTTCTTGGAACAAGAGCAGCCTGACTTATTTTGTTAGAAATCCCAGAATTAAGTCAGAATCAGGAAATAATATCTGCTTTCACTTCAGGTAATAAAAAAGTGTAACATAATAATTATTTTTTTTAACCTTATGGTGTGTGAATTAGGTTTCTCTTCTTTTTTTTCCCCCCTCTTACTACATAATTTGTCAGGCAGTTCAAGTATAGGACCCTTTAAATTCAGTAAGTTCATTCTATGTGACTATTGCATGGCTTTCTTTCCTTTGATTTGGAAAGCAAGCTTGATGTTCCACATAATGTTTCATAATGTATAGAGCAAGAAAAACCATATAAGCTGTGTAAACACATTAAAAAGGAATTAGAAAAGTGATCTCATTATTTTTGACAAAGCAACAGCCCATCATGTGCAGCCAAAGCCAGCTACTGAACAAGTCTACTTTCTCGATAACCGGCTGATGTTAATAACAGAATTCATAGAGTGACATCAATTACTAGGGAAGAAGTGGACTTTTTCTTATTTTTCACTTGGTCTTGGTAGAACAAATATTTTCACAGAACAAATTTACTCAAGAAATTGCCAGGATTTCTGGGAAAAGCTAGTGATGAAAAGGTTTTGTAAGAATTTTCCCTTTTTAATTTCATTGTTTCATTCCTTCAGTTCCTTCCAAATGTTTGTTTTTTATTAACATAGTGTCTCATGGCACATTTGGTGTTGAAAGAGATCTAGCTCTGGGCTAGTTGGCTTCCACTGAGTTCCACACTGGTCCTGGTTTATCCATTTGTGGACCCAAGTCGTAATTCTGTTAAAACCTTCCAAAGAGCTGAACAAGTAATGCACTGAAATTCTAGTCTACAAGAAAGATGTGAGGACCAGACCAGGGAAGAAGAGATGATTATACTGACAGAGGCAGCCTCCTGAGGCTGGTTTCCAGGACCTCAGCTGAAGCCAGAGATGCCTCTACATTGACCGAGGACAGGACAGCCCCTGTGGGGCTGAACCATGGCAGAAGAACAAAGCCAATCCAGTTTGGAGCTTAACCACCAAATTTTAGTGCCTGTGATAGAAAATCACTGAGGATGTTAGTGTTCATGCATTCTTTTAGTGCAGAGGACATTAAAACCCAATTGGCCTCTTGGGGCCAAAAGGCTAATTCTGGAAAGATAGGAACCAGATTTATTTCCAACCCAACTGTCTTCTGTTTTCAGTTTTCTGTGGTTTACATAATTAGTACTGTTGTTTTACAAATAGTAATGTAACAACAATAATGCATGTTATAGTTGCTATAACAACTATAGGTTGCACCTTATAGTTTACAAACCCTTTTAAGGTATGTTATCTCATTTAGCTTCATTTAAATATTTTAAATTACTCAGCCCTGCAAATAAGCATGAGAGAGAGAGACCCAGTGAGCTTAAAGGCAAGTAATATTTGCAACAGAATTTGGAAATAAAGATTGTTTGTGAGTATTCTTATTGTAGGCCACTCCACCTTCTCTTTAACACAAGTAAGCAGGAGAACTGATAGATACTTTAAAAAATTCTGTTTGTGTTGTTTTTATTGTTGGTCAATAAGTGAAGTTATAAACACTCATTCTTCAGACTTGGTTTCAGCTCCCCTCTCCCTTTGACAATTACAGATGTGGATGAATGCTCTTTGGATAGGACCTGTGACCATAGCTGCATCAACCACCCTGGCACATTCACATGTGCTTGCAACAAAGGGTATACCCTCTATGGCTTTACCCACTGTGGAGGTGAGCAGAATGCCCCACTAGGGTCAGATGAGGTTGGGCCTGTGGGGGAGCATGGCCTACCTTCAAGTTTCCCCAGATCAGGGTCAATTTTCCAATATTGGGGATGAATGGGATATTTTACTAGAGTAATAGTGACTTCACCAACTCCAGGGAGGCATCTGCTAAGGGAAACCTATTCACATGGATCCCTTTAACATGTTAAGTTATGGACCAGAAAGAAGAACTGAGCTAGTCAACCGTGAATTCTTCATTGACTTTATTGATGTAGTCTATTCAGACAGTGGGAGCATCTCTCAGGAGCTGATATCCTGTCTGTTGGAACTTCCCAGTAGATAGTAAAGTCACAGTCCTCAGAGAGACTTGGCAGGGCACCAACCATTTCCACAGCCTTGCTATGCACAGGAACTAGCTGAGAAGTCTTTTTCGAGGTTTGAGCTGGTTTTTTGAGCAGGTCTTTGAGCTGGAAGTGGACCATTGACTTTATCTCTCTGTGCTGTGCCCATGTAGCCACATGTTCTGATGTCACTATGCTCAGACAATGGCATAAATCAGATTTGACATCGAGTGATTTCCACCCTGCTCCCCCTGACCATCAGGTTCATTCAACAATTTTTGAGAATACAGATTCAGATTCTGATTCTGATTCAGAATGGCTAGGGCTTCCAAAGCAATCCTGAGTATCTGAATATTCGGGAACCACTGGCTTAAATATTTCCTGCCCATACCTTGTGTCCTGTGCTTAAGAAGAATGGATGGGAGTAATGTGGTATAGATAGTATTGTCTCTCTTCTGACCTTTTCAATACATCCTTGGCATGGCTAAAAACATCTTCCAGGCAATCAAGAAACCCCAAGGATATATTCCCTGAATATGGACATGTGTCTGGGTTTTAGGTGGAGCTGCCTTCCAACCTGGACTCAGCCTTGTGTTGATGGGGATTTGTGCAAGTCATTTGCCTTCTCTATACTTCAACTACTGAATATGAACTATCCAGTGAGGAATCCTAATTCTTTCCCCTTTGGCATGTAGCCTACGAGGATAGTAGAATTTCACATCGGAGGCCTGTGCAGTGTTTGAGCTTGGACATGTGACAGTAGAGTGTGCTCCCTTCTGAGAATCCTTAATGGGGGAAAGGTTTGGTCAAACATGGAACTTGAGACCATCTTGGCAAAGCCTATGCCAGGAAGTCAGCCCCCTGAGAGTGGGGTCAGCTGGTGCCAAGTGCACATCCTGAAGGCAGTTAGCACCTTCCCTTTGTTTAGTGAGTTCTGACCCTGCGACTTCCCTGCTGCTCCTTCCTCAGGGTTGGGATGGTATCAGCCTAGTCACCAGTGGGCTGCTGTGACAGGAGAGCATTTTGTTCTGCAGACACCAACGAGTGCAGCATCAACAATGGGGGCTGTCAGCAGGTCTGTGTGAACACAGTGGGCAGCTACGAATGCCGATGCCACTCAGCATACAAGCTCCACTGGAATAAAAAAGACTGTGTGGGTAAGGGGTACCGAGTCTCACAGTTAGCGGGCTCACACTGACACGGCAGCTCTGTCCCATGTCCACCTGGGCCTGGAGTGTGCCTGACCATCCCTTCCCTGACTCTTGCCCCATTAGCGGCAGCTGCCATTCTTTAAATACTTCAAAAACAGGAGATACTTTGCAGGCTCTTTGGGGGTTCCCTCTGTGCTTTTATGTTGGTTGGAACTCACTTCTGTTTTCCAAGTTGTTTTTCTGCATGGAAAAAAATAGCATACAAATGGCTTCTTTACCTTGGAGGGAAACAGGGTCCTGTGTCTTATGTTCTGTGCTGTATAACAACTCTACCTTCTTTTCTTGGGTCCTTGGATATTTGGGACTCAGCTGTCCTTAGCATATCTAGAAGTATCCTTCTCTTTCTGTAAGTGTCTGCTTTTTGTCCTATCTAGAAGTGAAGGGGGTCCTGCCCACTAGCATGTCACCCCATGTGTCCCTGCATTGCGGTAAGAGTGGCGGAGGAGACAGGTGCTTCCTCAGATGTCACTCTGGCATTCACCTCTCTTCAGGTGAGTGGGTCCCAGTCCCTGGAGAAAGTCCTCATGCCAGGGCCAAGCCTTCCTGGCCTTTAGGTGTTAGAGTCCCTCAAAGGGTTTCCAGGTCTTTGGCCAGCTGCTCCCTGACCACCGGAGGCCCATGCTTTGAGACCCTATATGCTGGGCATAAGTCTAGTGGTTTCTGTGGAATGGGGGCTGGAGAGTGCTTTTGGCTGCTCCCAGGAGAGACTGTAACCTTGCTTACATGTTGACAACCTACATTCTGTCTGTCAGGACTGCAAGAGACCTACTCTGTCACCTGCGGCTCTTCCTCTTCTCTCAGGAGCAAACAGCAAAAATCAAATGATTCTGCTTTTGGGGGTAATTACCAAATCTGTGTATTTTCTCTGGGGCTCTCTGTGTTAAATGGGTTTCATTCTTGGGGTGCTGTTCTTGGGCATTGGCTTTATCTTCTTTTCTCTTAATCTCCTCAATGCTCTGAGCACATTACAGGATGTTCTTGCCCACAGCCTTGGTGCCTGAAGACTGACTCATTATGTAACAGATACTTACTGACTGTCCACTGTTTGCTAGGAGGCTCCGTGTTCAGCCCTGCTGAGTCATCATATTGGGCAGAGGCCCACAGAGCTCTGGGATCAGGAGACTCAGGTCTCCCCAATTCCCTGCCCCTCAAAGGTGCAGCAGGTAGTGTGTACCCAGAGCACATGGCGTTGGTGGAGATAGACGTAGGCAAGACGAGGCACAATGATTCTATTCAGAGAAAGGATCCCGAACCCTTTCTGGTTTGTCAAAAAGACAAAGAATGAAATTTAAAGCTTTTAGGTAGCCTCGTCCTCCCAGATTTAGACATCTCTGTGATTTTATCATGAGAACATCTGATTGAGGAAATGATTCTTAATGTCCATATTACATATATGAGAGAGCTAGAGACCCAAAGCATGATAATAATACTTGAATATATTGATTGAGCAGTTAAAATATACCAGCCACTGTATTACCTGTCCTAGCTGATTTAATCCACACCGCAGCACTCAGAGCAATTTTACTTTTCTCCTCATTGACCAGATGAAGACCCTGAGATTCTGAGAGGTGAAATAATGTACCTAGAGTGATTCAGATAGGAAATAGGGGAGTCAGGATTTTAATTAGGAGTCTAGATCCAGAGTCCAGAGCACTATTCTTCACTGCCCCTCCTGCCTAATATTTGAAACCAGCCAGAACAGACATCATGGTCTGTTTCACCAAATCCCTCAGTAATGGGCACTTGGAGATTTAGGCTACCCACAGGATGGGCAAGCAGACAATTAACATTCAGTTCTTACTGTGTGCCAGACAGTAGGCTAAATGTATTATTTTTGCATCATCTTATTTAATTCTCATAGTAATGTAACTACCCCAATTTTGTCTATTTTATGGATGAGGAAACTGAGGATTAGTGAGTTTTAGTAAGTTGCTCAAGTTCTCATTGCAAGCCAAGAGCTAGAGTATGAATCCTGGGCTTTGGCTTCAGAGCTTGACATATGGTTAAGATTGATTGTGGGGAACAGAATTTTGTGCACGAGGCCCTCAGAGTGGGACTTTTGCTGCCCCCAGAGCCCGAACATCCAAGCAGCCTTTGGTGAGTGCCATCCTTATCTGCTCCCTCAACCTTGTCCTCCAAGAAAAGTCTTCTCCAGAAAAATCTGCCCTTCACTGTTTCCCTCAGCAGTCATGTCCAAATTTGAACTAGGGGATCCTGGTCTTCTTCCTCAGGAAGGCACAAAAGTGACCTCATGGTTCATCTCAGTGTGAAGGTTGTTTGGGGCCTCTCTTTATTATATTTGGGCATTGGATTAATCTCAGGTGGAGGAATAAGTGTAACTCTTAGGAGGCTCCTGGCATCCTCAGCCTCAGAGTCATGGGCACTCCGTGAGTCAAATCTTTTGTGGTCTCAGAGTAAGAGAGGGGCTCAGGGTATGCAGTGGTGTATGGTGGGACCCAGGCTTGGGATAGCTCGTCTGTTACCCACCCAGTCTTTCCCTCCTGTGCCTCTGAAGGTAATGTCTCTCACTTGTTTCTTTCTGAAGATGTCGCCACCATCAGGACAAGTGTAACCTTTAAAGTAAATGAAGGCAAGTGTAGTTTGAAAAAGGCTGAGCTGTTTCCCGAGGGTCTGCGACCAGCACTACCAGGTATGGAATCAGATGGCTGGTGCAGGGAGCTTGGTTGCATGTTGGGAAAGGGGCCTGTCACAAACTAAACCCTTCAGGTGGTCTTGAGCAGCCCAGATTCTCCAAGTACTCCTCCACAGGAGGAAGAGGAACCTGGCCTAGCACACCTGTATAGTTCTAGAGTTATACTTCAGGGCTTCCTCTGCCAGGCACACATGATAAAGCTCTGGAGAAACCTGTGAGTTCATAGGAATCAATGAGGGCTTTAAGATACATTGGCAATTTGTGATTATATTGGGTTAAATTTTATACATCTAAGAGTGTGCTTGGAAAATAAGCCAAAGAAATAAAAAGGGTTTGGCTCAGGATAACCTTCAGTGAGCAAAGATGTAATATCCAGCTTTCCTCCTGGATCCAATCTTTGGAGGCAGTGACTCCTTTGGCTTCAGCAGAAAAAATACCATCCAAGTAGAGCTGGACTTGTAGCGAAGAACAAAACCTAATACTCTTCTCCCCTCCTGTTCACATTTCCAGTATTATTTCATAGAATAATTCTAGAGCTTAAAAAAATCATGATTCAAGTATTAGAAATGCCTCTTTCCCCAGTTTATCCTCAAATAAATCATACAAATAAACATAAAGCTCACTGTAGTCACTTTTAGTGCATATTTTAGTTGCATATTTTAAGAAACAGATTAATTTTGGTACCTCTATTTAAATGGAATATTATGCAGCTATGAATTATGTGTTTTTAAAGAATGTTTAATGACATAAATGGAAACTATGGAAAATGATCTTGTAATATAATGCTAAGATGGAGAGGAGAGAGTGAGATTTTTTATATCTAATGCAACCCAAATTGTGTAAGAAAAAAGCGTGAGTAGAAGAAAAAGGAAACTCACCATGTGATTAGTAGTAGTTATATCTGGGTAGAGGGGTTGACCGGAGATCTTCATTTTTTTCCTTCTGCATTTTCCAAATTCTCCACAGTGAGCATTTATACTTTTTATCTATCTATCTATTTATTTATTTTAAAGATTATTTATTGGGTGAGGAGGGGCAAAGGGAGAAGGAAAGAGAATATCAAGTAGGCACCATGCTGAGTGTGGAGCTCAATATGGGGTTCCATCCCACAACCCTGAGATCATGACTTCATGATCAAGCCAAAATCAAATTCAGCCATTCGATCAACTGAGCCACCCAGGTACCCCAGCATTTATACTTTTAGATCAGAGGAAAAAGGCTTTATTTATTTATTTATTTATTTATAGATTTTATTTATTTATTCATGAGAGACACAGAGAGAGGAAGAGACAGGCAGAGGGAAAAGCAGGCGCCCTGCGAGGAGCCTGATTCGGAACTTGATCGCAGGACCCTGGGATCATGGCCTGAGCCAAAGGCAGATGCTCAACCACTGAGTCACTGAGATGCCCCAGAAAAGCATTATTTAAAAATAGACTTGGTCTTTAGTCTCCTTAATGGTATTATACTATGTTAATTTCTCAGTATTGATAAATATACATGTTAATGTAAGATGTTAGCATTAGGGGAAACTTAAACAATATATGGGAACTCTCTGTTCTATTTAAGCAATTTTTCTGCAAATCTAAAATTATTATGGAATTAGAAGTTAGCTTTTTGAGAAAGGAAAGGAGAATTTTTCCCAGAGGATGGTGGGTGGGGATTAATTTGCTTCCTCCTTCCTTTGGCTCCTGCTGACCTATTGCTTTGAACATCTTTGTAATGTTGAAGAATATGATACAGATAATTCGTCCATTGAATAAAATAAGAGTTTAAACTGGAGGCAAGTTGGTTGTGTGGATGATACATGGAACTGCTCTTTGGTTCCAGTTAATGGTCATTAGTTAAAAGATCCACTGGAAGCCACAGGAGATAGAGAGGTGAGGGAGAGATGGCCAGAGTCTGGAATAGGGATGTGCAGAACCCTGCCTTACGCAACACTTCCTCCCACCCTAGATGCCTTCATGATATTGTTTGGTTCTCTAGATGTTTTGTGCTGTATATTGCTCCTGGTTATTTCAAAATGAGACATCACTGTTAATGTGTTTTCCAACTTCCCCTTCAGGCTGGAATTACTCCAAACTCAGTTTGCCTGAGAGCAGGAGTTGGTTTCCTTTCTACTCCTGTGCTTCTTCCCTATTTGTAGCCTTAGTCCCTGCTTGGTACATCACAGTCCAGCTCTAAGGAAACCAACCTTGAGAACACGAGCACACCTTAGCAGACTGTCAGTTAGGAATGCAAGGCAACCCTGGTTCCTGTCTTCCACTTATGTGGCCAGCCAGTCAGAAACATCCAGCATTCATCCATGAAAATAATTTTCAAGAGCTAAATTGTTAAGTTATATAGGAGGCTCTTTGAAATTAAAATGTCATCGTGCTCCAAGCTGAGGCTTGCAACGTCTTGGCATCTGGAGTTAATCACTTAGTCCCTTGAGAGTTGTTTTAATGAAATGTTTACTGAGCTCTAGCGAATGTTCAACTGAGTGCTTTGCCAGGATCTGGCTTCCGATAATTTTGTTTCTTCATACAGAGAAGCACAGCTCAGTAAAAGAGAGCTTCCGCTACGCAAACCTTACATGCAGCTCCAGCAAGCAAGTCCCGGGAGCCCCTGGCCGCCCAAGCACCACTAAGGAAATGTTTATCACTGTTGAGTTTGAACTTGAAATTAACCAAAAGGAGGTGACAGGTTGGTTTGAAAACAGTCTTTGGTACCAGGCTTCTCACAGCTTGCTCCTTATTCTTTTGCCTTTCATCATTCTTGGGGGGAAACAGTAGTGCAACCACTGAAGTATCTCCTGTTTTGTTTTGTTTTGTTTTGTTTTTCACTCCCAAACTAAACTGAATTGGTTTGGAACCTCATGATTGTATCTGTTTCCTAAAAACTCAAAGATTCCATTTTGGCCAACAAATTTCTTTTAGAAACCAGTGCTGCCCAGCCTGCGAGGTGCCCAGCCCCAGGTGTCCCCTCCATTCTGTCCACAGGGAACCGTGGGTGCTGGTGGGTCCTTTGTGGGTCCGGACATCCTCCTGTGCTGCAGCCTGACCTCTTCCCCCACTGCTACCCCTCTTGTTTCGGTAGCTTCTTGTGACCTGAGTTGCACCATAAAGCGGACAGAGAAGCGGCTCCGGAAAGCTATCCGTGCGCTCCGGAAGGCAGCCAACAGGGAGCACTTTCACCTCCAGCTCTCAGGCATGGAACTTGAAGGGGCAAACAAGTCTCCCAGAACATCTGAACACCAACTGGAGTCCTGTGGAGTGGGCCAGAGCCACACAGGAAACCAATGTGGTGAGTGACCTGCTGGGCCATTCTTGCTCACAGAGTTGTCATGAGCTCCATAAAGACTCGGGGTAACCAAAAGCATAGCCCATTCTCCCTCTCTGGGTTCACTCCAGAGAATGCTGTGGTTACCCACTCTCATTTGGGAATGACACATTGGGATTTGTTGTGCCTGCTGGACCAGGAGTTCCCTGGCACCTGGCACAGGGTCTGGTGGTGGGCACTGAATAAATGTTTGCCAAATTGAGGGTTGGAAAGGAGGAAGTAGAGCAATGAGAAGAGGGAGTACTGACCTTCAAGAGTCTGAGGACGGTGGTCTTCAGAGCACTGTGGCCCTGGGTAGGGACAGACTATGGGCATGAGGCACCTATGAGGCTCCTGTACACCCCACTACCAGTTCCCCATCATCTCCCTCTGGCCTGGCTGAGGGTGGTCATGAACCTCTCCTGTCCATAGTTTTGTGCAGAGTCTGGGGGTGCCACCTGGCAGTCTTATGAGATCCCTGAGCTTCAGCCCAAGACTCCTAGTAGTGTCAGTTCCATACATGGTGTGTGTGTGTGTGTGTGTGCATGCGTGCGTGCGTGTGTGTGTGTGTGTGTGTGTGTTTCAGAATTAAGTTTGAGACCTGGCATTTGAACCAATTTATGAAGTTCTAGACAGAAGGAACCTGGGCAAGAGGTTCTAGGGTGGTCTGGCACACACACATACATGGTGTGTGTGTGTGTGTGTGTGTTTCAGAATTAAGTTTGAGACCTGGCATTTGAACAACACCAATTTATGAAGTTCTAGACAGAAGGAACCTGGGCAAGAGGTTCTAGGGTGGTCGGTCTTGAGATTTGTTTATTGGGTGAAATTGTTCTGGGCATTTATGGCAGATAATCACTTTATAGTCTCACTTTATAATAATCACAGTAATGATTTATTGAGTTTTCATCTGACACAGTACAACATTAAGACGGTATCTGCTTTATCTCGCTTAACCTGAATGGTCATCTCATTAGGTTGGCATTATCATCTCTATGTAACAGATGAACAAACCGGAACTCAGAGAGCTAGGTTCTTTTGCTCTAGACCATACCAATGGGCTAACTCCAAAGCCTGTGCTCTGGTCCCAAGTACGGTGAGTTATGATAACCAGACTCATCCAGAATAAACTGATGTCCTTTTTCAAGCATCAGTAGGAGGCCCAGAAGTGAGGCTTGAGCTAAGGAGTAATAAGCCAGTGTTTCTGAAGAAGCAAAGCTGAGCCCAGGGCACTCATTCCAGAGAATTGTCAGCAATAACCAACTACTTTCAGCCCACATCTGTTGCTTTGCCAAAATGTAGTAAAAATCAAGTGTAAAATCAAGTGTAATTGTCCACCAGGGGCTGGTTCTCAAATAGTCTTGACTTTTATTCTAGCTGACTCTCTTAAAAAGAAAAAAAAAGTTAGAAACAACCCAGCTGGTTGGTTTATTCTCATTTAAAATTATAAGAGTTCTGGTTTCTATACCAAAATGGTGACAAGCGTTGGCTCTTGCTGCCCTACTTTATGGGGGGGAGTTGCAGAAACTGTCAGGGCCAGGCAGGCCAGGCCTCTCAGAGCTAGACTGCATCCCCTTCCCCATTTGCTCTCCTGGTAGGGAGAGGCCTCACAGGCTTGCCAGGGAGCCTTGGTGGCCAGTTGAGAAATCAGGCAGAACTAGAGTATTACCAATCCTACCATGACTGTGCTCCTGCAGAAAAGGGCCAAGAATGATTAGCAGAAGTTACTTAACAGAGGATGCCTCATGACCATGACAGCTTATGAAAGACACTGTAGCTGTTGTGTGTGTAAATGTGTCCTGAAATGCTTGTCATGCTTAGTTAGGCTGGATTTGTTGCGGAGAGGCAATGTGTCTTGTCTCAAGAGCTCCCTCTAGCAATGGATGAATTTTGTAGCCCACACGGAACCAAATCAGATTCACCCCGTCTGACAGCCATGTTGAGGATTTTACCATGTAGAGAAAATAGCACAAATAATTACAGTGAAATTGCTTCCTCCTGCTGAATGGAGGAGGTGTGCACAAGGAGGGGTTGCATGTGTTAATTGGAAAGCCTTCTTCCCCATGAGACACACGTGGTATGGGCTAGGGCCAGGGAACAAGTGAGTGTGTTGGGGGGCGGGGAATGTGTCTTCTATTCCTTATATTCCTAGACTATTTGCTGGTCTTAAAACTTCATCAAGACCAAGTTTCCTGGTATTTCCTGAACTCTGAATGGTACAGACATTGGAGACATGCCTAGGATAGTTCTTTTTGGAAATTATTTGCAATGTTGTCCAAAAGGAGGCTCCGAAAGCATTTGGAGTCACTGAAAGGGCAGATGAGACCATTACACTTTTCCTTTAAATTTTTTTTTAAAGATTTTATTTGTTTATTCATGAGAGACACAAAGAGAGAGAGAGAGGCAGAGACATAGGCAGAGGGAGAAGCAGGCTTCCTATGGGATCCAGGATCATGCCCTGAGCCGAAGGCAGACGCTCAACCACTGAGTCACCCAGGCGTCCTGAGACTGGGAAGGTTTAATTCAACTTTCAACAGCAGTATCTTTCCTTTACAGCAGTTGAGAAAAATTAATTCAACTATTATATTTTGAGATACCATTCTGTGCCACTCTAAACTTGGATGGAGTAGTGAGAACATAATGAGTGAGGAGCTAGCTCTTACAAGATTCACATTCTAACAAAAGGACATGGACAATTAACAAATAAAGAAAAAAGGTAATTACAGAAGATAAGAATACAGAGAGGGACAGAGGGGAGGAAGGATTACTCTCCACAGGTGTTCAGGAAGGCTTTCAGAGCAGGTGACATTTGATTTAAGTGAGAAGGAGTTGGCCTTGATGGGGGCAGAGTATGTTCTGGCTGAGGAGGGATCAGCAGGTGCAAATGGCTTGAGGCAGGAATGAGCCAGGCATTTTCTTCTTAATTTTTTCAGAATTGAGAAATTATTTGCAACTGAGCAGGCAGAAATTTTCTTTTCTGTCTTAAATCATAGAAAATATGAAGTCTGTTAGCAATACAGACAAAATTAGATCAATACTTATCACACAGACTTGGAAGGGTTGTGAGATAAAGCCCTGAGTTAGGCTCTGTGGTGGGCGTGGAACCTGCATAAGATTCTCTATCCTTCTCTCTCTGCATCTCCTCCCCTTTCTCTTTCCCTCTCTCTAAAAATAAAACAAAACCACAATAAAACATAATTTAGTAAAATGTGGACATTAATTGAGCACTTATAGTGTGTTTGACACTGTGCTAAGCACTTTACATACATTATGTCATTTGATCCTCATCATAAGTCTATTTTGCATCATGTTGTTTTTTTTTTTTTTTTTTTTTTTTTTTTTTACAAATAAGGAAACTAAGGCATAGGGAGGTAAGGTATTTTCTCAGTGTCCACCCAGCAAGTAAATGGCAGTGCCAGAGTTCAGATCCAGATCTGTCTCAAGAACCTATATTCTTAATTCTCTCAATGGGAATACTCTCACTTCTGGGTACAGCCTGTGCCATGTGATGATTATCTACCTCTGATAGCACTTGTATGGAGCACCCTCCATGGGCCAGCACTGCCATGGGTGCTGAGGAGGCCTGGATAAATAAGACATCATCCCTCAAGTCACATTTGGTCCTCCCAGGGGAGAGTTAGAGAAGACCTCCCCAAAGAGAGGAAGCCTAAGCTGAGTTTTGAAAGATGCACAGATGACACATAAAGGGGAGTATTCAGGAAGAGGAGTAGACTTGGGGAATGAGACCGAGCAAGATGCATACAGGGGATGATTGACAACTCAGTATTACTAAATCTGGAGCACAAGGTAGGATGTGGTGGGTAGCGAGGCTGGTGGGAAAAGCACAATAGGTCATGAGAGACCTTGAGTATACTGCTCAGGAGCCTTGGCTTTATATAGGTGACAAGGTGCCATTAGAGGGTTAAATCAGGAAATGTTCAGGTCATGTTTGTATTCTAGAAAAATTTCTTTTATTAGACTGAGAGTCAGGACCAAAGGCAGAAAACCTAACTTGGAAGGTTTTGAATGCTTTGCATGAGAGATGTTGAGAACATGAAGGCACTAGATGGACTAGAAAAAAAGCAATAGATTCTAGAAATATTTAGGAGGAACTGTGAGCAGCATTTGGCGATAAACTGGATTGGGGACTAAAAATAGGAAAGAGCTGGGGTGAGCTCAGAGGTTTTTGACGTGGCCTCTGATTGGTCCCTTGCTTACCACATGTCCCTCATCTCACCCCGCCCTGCTTCATATGCAGGAAGCATGGAGAAAAGGCCTGCAGGTTTGGTTGAATGATTGGATGAATGTGATCACTGGGGAAGAAATAATCAGAAAAGATTTATAGGAAAAGTGGGGGTGGGGGGTGGGGAATAGACTCTTGAGAGAGCCTGAGAAAGAAAGAAAACTCAGATGTAGAAAAGGAGACTAAAGATTGAGTTCTGAATCAAAGATATGATGAGGAGTGCAGGGTGGCAAGTCAAGGAGGCTTTGGAGTCAGGGAGGGGAGCAGTCAGAGAAGCACCTTAGAAAGGTGGATCTGGTGGCAGGCTGTGAGGGCTGAGGCAGGGAGGAACGGAGGCAAGGAAGGTCATTGGAAGGTTATTGCAGTAATCTAGATTAGAGATGGCGAGGATCAAAACACCCTGATGCTATAGGGATGGACATCAGCTGATGGACAAAAGGAGCACAGCTGCAGGATGCTGCAGCTGGCTGCCTGATGAGGCAGGGAGGATTGAGGTCTGGAATAATAACTATGGGCTAGACTGCAAAGATGGTGCCTGGGAGAGCAGCGATGCTGTTCATAAAGAGCAAAGCCAGAGGAGTCGGAAGAACTGGGCAGGGGAGGAAAGAGAAGCATTCTCCTTGAGGAAGTGGAATTTGAGTTGCCACAAGACTTCCAGGCAGTGATCTCCATGGGCTTCTAAGAGTCTTAGGAAAATGATTTTATCTTATCACGTGCAGACCAACCCTCCTATCCTGTATCT